GTCCGGCTGGTGTAAGTGAACAACACTAGCGCCAAAACTAAGCGTATGTGTGAAATTATTATTGCTCTCCTGGATTATTTGCTGCTAATACTGTAACAGATACATTCATTTCCGTTTGTTTCATTTGTAGGGAATAATTGCTCATCCTGACAATCGAAATGAATCACGGGCGCTTTGTTTGTATTGGACGTTTTGAAGTAATAGCTGAGGTGCTAGTAAGACAGAAATTGCAATATTTCAGTAATAAGAAACTCCAATATTGCATGAAAGTATGTGCTGTTGAGTAGCACAATAATTTTCTTTAAATATACATTTTTTCCCTCGTATGTAGGTGCTGATCCCATTTTCAGCTAACTCGGTAAATTCAAATTTCCCGCGCGTTGTACAACGCGCTGTCGGTTTGCAAAATAACATAGCCATTTCAAATTCTTCCTATTGCCGCCCGTCGTGTTCGTTTGATGTAGATAATATTCTTATGGAAGGAAATAATATAACTTAGAACTATCAAATACACGTCTTTTAGCGTCGCTTCGCTCCACATAAAAAATTCAAACGGGTGAACCCTCAGGCCAAAGCGAAATTAGTCGAGTCTTATTTCCAAAATTAAAGCACGAAACAAGTAGAAATATCACGATCTGTTGACAAAATATTTTTCGGTGACAAGACCTATTCCAATATCTTAAAAGAGATTTTTGTCTTCAATTGTTCCTTAGCTGCAATTATATTTCACCAATCACATATTTTTTTAATATTTCATACTCATTTTTGTAATAAAAGTTAAAAATAAAATGTATTCTGAAATTCATTTTCATATAAATTTATACTATTTTCGCCTTTAGAGCCTATTTTAGGGACTTAAATATGAGATACTAAACCCTAAAATTCTAAAGCTAACGAGTTCAAGATTCTGTGAACGCAAGGTTCTGAACTGATTTGGTTACTAAAAAAAATTAAAAAAAAAAAAAAAAAAAAAAATACGCATGTACCAAGCCATGTGGACAAAAGTACTTATTGTGAGATTTCAGTATGGTTTTAAATATGGTTCAGAAAGGAAATTAACTACAGATGAACAGAACAATCCAATGCCAATGTATGCACTGAAAGTCGTTACAAAAGTAAGGCAAATTTTGATCCTAATATTTCATTACTTTTTTCCCTGAAAAGTATAAATGAAAGGCATGCTTGTAGATTGATCCATATTCAAGGCATGTCGTGCACAACATACTCAATCGATCTTTAAATTGATGATTTTTTAAGTGACATTTTAAGAATTGCACTTGTGTTCAATAATCTCATTAATTTATTATCAACTATAGCTACTTTCATCACACAAATTTAGTGTTCAATATACCATATTTAAAGAGCTCAGCAAACATTTGGTACAAATTGGTAAGCCTTTTGGGCACCTTCCTTTGCATCTGAAGGCCCTTGAAAACTTGCATCCCTACAACTGACAACTGGCTGGAGAGTAGGGAGACTCGTACATTTGGTACACATTGTGAACGAGACATGCTCCTGAAGGTGGTCGAGTGCTCATTTAAACCTTGGGAAGTAGTTTGATTTCTTTTCGGAATACCTTCTTTGCACATTTTTTACTTGGTAGAAAATATAATACTAAATATTTCTTTAAAACCTAACAATATTGTTAGCATTCTAAATTTGTGGTTACATACTCATGTCATATGTGAAAGTCATGGATTTAGTCACTTTCATATTTCTTTTATCCTGATTTCCTAAACTTACTAAAGGCATATGCTCATAATACAATCAATGAATATTGAATTTTCATGATTGTGTTTCATGTACAAAAAGTAAGATTTTACTTTTTAATACAAAAATCTCTATTTCAAAATTATTTTGTATTATTGGAGTGAGCCATTTTCAAAGTGAGAAAACTACTGTACTTTTCATTTTTTTTTTTTCCCTTCAAGATTAGATTTTCAATATCTTAACATGATAAATCAATCCTTAATACTTGGATATGAATTTTCAAGAACTCATTTACTTTTAACAGATCTGAATTTTTTAAATAACTAAAATTTGTAGAAATATCAAACAAAGTAATGAACAGACCACAGGAAAGATAATTATTGTTATAATCATACATAATTAAGATATAATAATCCTCAAACAGTCCCACACTTCAGAGATAATTGTTCCAGAATATATATTTTTCAAATTGTTTACTTAAATGACATTCATGACATATTAAATTGTATTTCAAAATTCCTGAAAAAGCAACTAGCATAATAATTTGAAGTCCACATAGCAATCAAAAGAAAATAAACTTCGAATTCTTCCCAAGATACATCTCAGATTTTTTAAATTTTGTATCTGGGAATTCTCATTAACCTTGAAATTTAAAATAGGTAAACATTTCAGGGAACATTCTTAAGTTATAATCATTTATAGTTAGATAGCAAATTTTAGTATTCTAGATGCCATCATATACCCCATTTTTTAACAGTTTTAACAGGTACCAACAGGAGATGCCAAAGTCCATTACCACATATTTACTTTTTATTGAAGCAAATTGTTAATTCTTTTAGTGTTCACAGATGCATCAAATTTCAGCGTTTTTTTTATTTATTTCATAGTATGCTTAGAAATCATTCTTTTTAATTAAAAACATGGTTTTTGTAACAGCACAAGAGTGCAGAGGATAGTAATTTTGCAACTAAAATGCTACAAAGTTAACTTCCTTTCCAGTGAGAGAGAAAAAAAAAAAAGCTTCATATATTTTGAATCCAGAAAGTAATATTTTAATTTATGGCCTAATTTATAGCTTTTTAAGCAAGTATTTTTTAACTTTTTTGTTTACACCCTGATATGTAATTTTCTGAGCATTTAATGATTATTCTGACAATAAACACAATATTAAGAGATATTTCAAATTTGACTAGTAATCTCACTGGCGTTTACTCGGAAACCCTCTAAGTACAAGACAATTTACATTATGTTCACACAAAAAGCCTACCAACATGAAAACTTCCATGGGTAGAGCAAAAACGAATCATTACTTCAACCCACTCATTATTAAGGTAGTTTAAAAAAGACTGAATTTGAGTTTCGCAATAGAGTAGTGTTAAAATCATTTAGAAAATAATAATAGAAAGCAATTTCCCATTTATTAAAAAAAATAAATGGTGGAAAATAACCTTACGAATAAGAAAAATTCAACACATTGTTAAAAAATGATAAATGTGACATCACAAAGTGGTTGTGGTAATAATAATAATAATAATATTGAAACATGCAGAGATGATTGGAATATCTGTTGCTCAAAACCATCCAAACTGAAGTTTCAAAAAACTAAACCATCAAGTGATTCATGGAAGAAAGCAGGCATGGCAAGAAGTTGTTTCAAGCAGTCCAACGTTTTCCTAAATTGAACTCTTAAAACATCCCAATAAATGACCACAAATTATTTTGTTCTTTGCAACAAAAACTCATTTTTCCCTTTTGCTCTCTTTTATTATATACACAAAGAATAATAAATCTCAGAATTTTCAGTGAAAACCTTTTTAAAAAATTCTTAGGAACTCATTTCCTTGCTCGTAACCCTCTTTTCAATATTAATTTTGCCCTTTCATTCTATAAACAGGTTAAATTTTTAAAAGCATAAAATCTTCATAATGAAAATAGTTAAAGAAATTTCAATTATTCTCCTTCATGGATAGATGTGAAAAACCCAAATCAACAGAACTTTATGAACAGAACTACATGATCTTTGATAAGCAGAAAAGCAACATTTAGTGTGCACAAACCAAGCAAGTCATCATCTCAGTCTTCACTCTATGGTCCAGGGAAACTGAATAAGAACTGATGAAGGGATGCACTGACTAAAAGATTTTTATTCCAACCTAGTCATTTAAAATCTCTTAAGAACACTTCATTGAAAACTTTCATTTCTTTTATAGTGAGCAAACTTTGCATCAATAAATACATCAATATTTCTGTTGTAAAGTAGTAAAAACGAAAAGCAAATATCTTCTTCATCTTCCTCCTGCAGTATTAACGTCCTATACCATCTGATTCCTTACATATTATATAAACGGTACAAGAAATACGAAATTACTAGGAACAGCTTTTGACCTACGACTTACTCAAACCTGAAAAATGTTTTACATCCATTTTTGTAGTATCATAGAAATTTTGTTGAATGATTCAAGTACTGTACATTTAGAAGGATTATATGACTCAATGAATTGTGTTTAGAAAGTTGAGCGATTCAATTATTGTTCATTTTAAAGAATTATATAGTAGTTTAAGTTTGCACTAAAAGGATACTTTCCAGTAGCTAACTCTTTATATGAACAGTGTTATATTATGAATCCATGAAGATTGATTCACAAAACTTCATTGCTAGGCTCAAACATTCACAAAATCTTAAAACCAAAACATTGTTGCAAGCTTCATTGGTCAAAAGATGCTACAAATTTTAAATGATCCAAAAGGAAAACAGATCAATAAACAAAACAAAAAGATCCAAACCACCTAAATGCAAGGCCAGCTTTACCATTGTCTCAGCAGTGACTGACCAGGAGAACCTAGAGTAAAGTTCCAAAAGCGGCAATCTGCAACACTAGCTACGTTACCAAGCCACCATCTACAGCAGGGCTGTCCAACTTGCAGGGCCTCAAGGAGCATAACAACCTTTAATATGGTTGCAGGCCATATTTACAGTATTTGTGCAATCCACACCTGTCTACCCTGTATTGTTGATAGTGGCAATTTGCATGGGGAGGGGAAGATGGAAAAGGAACAGAACCACACGTAGTAACAGGCCCTACCATGCATAACACAGGGAAACAGATTGTTCTGATTTTGAATATCTGACGTTTATAGAAAAAAAATCTTTAATTTAAACAACCTATTTTTACATCAAAGGGGTGTTGTCCCTGACAGGGCATGTGAGCTAGCTATGAAAGTTCTAGCCTGACATGGTTGCATCGCAAGCCGCATGCAGTCAGAATTCTAGGGACCAATTTCTCATCGGTAGATTTCTGGTTTTCCTATCAGTATCACGCATATGCAAGAACAGTACCCTAATAACAGGCCCAGACTGCACACCATCTTTACTTCCTCTTCCTTGTCCTATAACCTCCTTACACTTCACACATTTACATGCTTACACTCTACAACACACACTGGGATGAGTTGGGAACTTTAAGCTTGTGCCTGCTGGGACAATACCCGGAGAAGGAAATCCCTTCAGTTGTCATTGAGGTTAGTACCAGATCATACAAAAACAAGAGGATCACTCCTACCTCCTGGGATAAAACCTACATTACACTAAGGGGACTAATCATCAAAGCAGTTGATTTACCCAGGAACATCAACTGATCAAAATTATACTGAAAATTGAATAACAGGCTGAAACACTAGTTTTAGGTAACTAATGACTACATATTTCTTTGAAATTCTTTAAAAAATTTCAAAGCAATAAATTACAACTTTAACTTCATGACATTGCAGTAGTTTAACAAAACTAGTTTCTATATTTAAAAGAGGATTTTTGTTTCTACGATACCTAATTTAATCCTTAAAAAATTTTGGATTTGTACTTAAAAAACATTGCTTCCTGAAGCAACAGTGCCTAAGTCATTGTTTCATTTACTAATTGACCAAGTTTGGATAACCATTTTAAAATAATTTTTTCCTACAAAAATTACAATTTTAGAACAACAAATTTATACCTACAAATGGATATTGAATTATTACACACATTCTGAAGACTTTTTGCACAGGTGTCACCCTTTAAAAATCCACATGAAAGATATCATCAAAACTTTACACTTCATTACTGCTATGTAAGATTATCCATATAAGAACATTTTTATAAAGGAAAAGAATGTGAGAGGAAAATTATAAAATTCAAGACCTGCTGTACAACAAAAATTTTATATATAAGGTTTAAGGGAAAAAATTACAAAATTTGACAAATTCTTAAAAAAAATCCTGTTTCATCCTAAATACATTAAAATTGCATTTAGAACACTGAAAATACATTCTTAAAAGTATGCCTTGTATAACATTGCAACCACATTGCACAATGCTCTATTTCACTATACATTTCATCATTACATTTTCACTACAAGTGATTTACATTGACAAGATAATATTCACAAAATCTGCCAGCTAATTGAAAATGATGAACTGCTAGAGACCTAAACATCTTACAGTACTAGTTTCAATTTTATTCTGAAGAGTCACTTTCTAGAAGAGACTCATTATCATTCTCTACCTCTGACTCCTTTTTGACCTCTAGATTTCTAGTATTTTCCTTTTTAAATTGGCATTTCTTTCCGTGTTTCTCTAAATTGGATTTTTGAGTGTATGATTTCTGGCAAAACTTACAAGGAAAAGGCTTCTCCTTCAAATGAATGGATATATGTTTAGTCATGTTGCTTTGCTGTGTAAATGCTTTGTGACAGATCTTACAAGAATATGGCTTAGCACCTGTATGTGTACGTTCATGTTTATCCAAATAAGACTGCTGGGCAAAGGTTTTTGAGCAAAAAGTACAATGAAAAGGGCGCTCTCCAGTGTGAGTCTTCTCGTGTTTCAACATGTTTGAACGTTGGGCAAAGGCTTTTTTACATACAGGGCAAATAAATGGTCGTTCACCAGTATGAATCCGAACATGTTTCACAAGATTTGCTTGTTGTGTGAATGATTTGCCACAAACATTACAGGAGAAAGGCTTCTCTCCCGTATGAGTTCTAATATGTTTCCACAAATTGGACTGTTGGGAAAAAGATTTCAAACAAATTTCACATCGATAAGGTCTTTCCCCGGTATGTATTCTTTCATGCCTTACTAAATTAACTTGCTGACTAAAACTTCTCAAACATATTTTACAAGCGAATTTATTTGATATTTGTTCTGTCCCCGCATTCGATGATCCTTCTGCACTTCCCCATGTCTGTGATGAGTTAATATTTTTAGCAGAAGTGAATTCTGTTTTTTCAGTGTCAGTGTAGGTAACGCCGGCATAAACATCTACTTCAACTTCTAACTTTTCAATGTCACTTGTTGTTCTCGCACCTTTTAGGAACTTGCTATCTTCAAGCGACGTCATTTCAAATTAAATAACACCGAGTCATTACAGTACATTGGGCTACCGGCAAAAACACCACCTCCCGAGTTCGCCACAAACAACGAAACCATGTCACACTTCGCAGTACAATGTGCGCGGCCTAGCAAAAATCGAAAACTATCGTCTTCGGGCGTAAAGAAATAATTTAAACTCTGAAAAATTTCTATAACTGCCAAAAAAATTAAAATCTGAACACTGACAGATAAAAACCAATAAATATTCTCGTTCTTACCAAAGTAATATGGCCGACGCGCGTACACCTCGCCGCTGTATAGGAACATAACTTGCTACGACGTAAGTTCCTTATTATGAGAATTCTCCCAACGCACCCGATATGTTCTACATACACTGAATCGACCTCTCCAAAAAATATTTTAAATTGTACTCTTAAGAATGCATAAGTATTTCTTTGATGAACTTTAACGTAACTTAAAAGGAGAAGAAGAAACTCCACATGCAACCAACAGTTCAGGTAATAATATCCACTGATGGTTCAGAACCAAACGCAAATAATGCTAGTTTTATGAATTATGTCATTGAATTGTGACAAGTAAAAATATAGTTAAGATAGGTTATTTAAATACGCAATTTTCACACATTTACATGGGAGGTAAGTGACAAGATAATAAAACGGTTAAATACAGTTTAAAAAAAGGTAATGAAAATGTAAAATCACATGTTTTCTTTACGTGTTAAGCCTTCTTTTTCAACGTATCGTTAACTTCATCTGCCAGGTCACAGATCTTCCTCCATTGTGTGGGTGTCAAACTAATACCTGAAAATTAAATAATTAAATGTAAATGGCTCTATTAAGGTTGAAAGGTAAATATAAACATCTAATTACCTTTTTTGCCTGGTTTGAGTTCCCCATCGGATTCATAGAACTCTCTGATGTCCACGAATATTCTCCCTTTAAATTCACGAATTTTAAGAAATCTGTTTTTATCAATGGTCCAGGTTGGTTCTTCTTCATCTGCTTTACTACTACTGGCAGTTTTGGGCTTCTTAGATGGAGCCACCTAAAAGATAACGATAAATTCGAATGAGAAAGTTCATCATCCATTAAATAATCTAAAATCGATAAATTACTCACATCATCAGGACCAGAATCGGAGTCTGAAGAATCTTTCTTATTTTTGGGCATGGTGTTGCTCCTAAAACGAACATTATCTGAATTTTAAACGGGAAGAACGATTTTAACAATATTTAGAAAATCATTACAGATATAATAATCCCATTATTGAAACAAGCCACGTTTTCTAATAACTGAAATGATGATGCAGCAGAAACTCAAACTTGTTAAAAAACATAATGTAATCCTCAACAAGAAAATAAGATCTTTAAAAAACTCACTACTGCTTCGGTTGCTGAAAGTTCTTCAAAACTCGTCTCTCCACAAGCTCGATCTGACACAGCCGGCGAAGCAAGACACCAAACGCGTATGGCCGGCCTCACCACAGAAAATGAAAACTTCTCTGCAGATTCGCGCGCCACACAATGTTGCCAACCAACGGCGCTACCGGCTAATACTACCGGGAAGCCGCCAATTCACTATCACCCCTAAAACCAGTGAACAAAAAGAGATATTCACAATGACGTCACGTTTGGCGGGAAAGTGTTAAGTGGCAACCTCTGCTGTATGCATAAGCGATTTCTTGAGAATTTGTACGTTTTTGGCTGTACTATGCGGGTAACGAGGTTTGTGTTTCTTATCACGTTTGATATTAACAATTATATTTATTTTCTTTGGATTTGTTTGGGTTCTGGCTGCGCATCTCGTTCACACATTTAATTTAAAGAAACACTATTCTATCAGACATACATTTTCAATTCCTTTTCTCCACCTTTTCATTTTGAAAATACTTCGAAGTAAATATTATAACTACCTTAGCGGTGATTTTATGGTGCTACTTTATAATAAAATGAAATGTATGAAACATTTGGATCCATCTGCCCTTTCATCAGATACGAATAGTGTCAACGAATTTCGGGCCCACGTGTTATTCGAGCGGAAATGACTACTTCTCCATACTTTTATACACTAGGCTCTTTAAATATTTATTTTAAAAAAATGTATTAATGATTATCATCCAGAGAAATATTATCTACATTAAACTTTAACAAGGCAGTCTAAAATCACAGACACTGCACCTGACCACATGATGCATCCTACCTTACACAAGTACTTCCACCTAAACAAAACCCTCTGGGGTGAGATAGAACATCGAAAAGAACTCAAATGTAGAGTGTGGTGTGAGAAAAGTCGCATTCCAAATTTCGACGATTTTATTAAAAATTTGAAAAGATTTAGGAAATGTTTTTTTTTTATTCTGTAGTGTCAACGTTTTTTTAAGTAAACCCGGGTGAAATGTGTCCAACAATTTCAAGTGACTTTAAACATTTTGAAGATCTTCCAATAGTGGTGAAAACATTTTTTTCGATTATAGTAACAAAAGGTAAATTTTTATTTATATGTTTATGTCTCAGATGAGCAACGAGATAATTGCTATTGACTGTAGATCCACGCTGCAGCTTGTGCCATAAAAGTATAGAATTTGAAATGTTTTAAGCAACATTTCATTTATCAATTATAGAAAAGTTGATATGATGAATGATATGTTGATATGAAAATGATAAACGTTTCATCAAAACATTAATGATAACGAGTAACCGTGCAGGCAGTCCTTGAACGCTCGAAGCGCTAAGATCATCCTCGAGCAGGCGCGCATGAGTCTCCAATCCCTCGGATCTAAGTACAGCGTTAGAAACTGAGAAATAACAATGAGTTGGAATAATGATACAGAAAAACAAAAACGAGGGCGGTAGCAATGCAGGCAAACGCACTAAATAAGTCAAAGATTCTTGAGTAAAAAAGGTAGAAAGATAAGCCACTACCCCGTCGCTCCTTCAAACCAGACTGGAAATAATTACAGATAATTAGAATGTTATTTTCAGAGTTTTTGGAAACTTAAAACTCTTGTGGACACTACAGTGAAGTTTGTAGATCATGAAATTGATTATTGTATATTAGGATAGGTGTAACATGTAAGTGTCATTTCATTTATTGCTAACGAAAAAGCTATTGCATTTTATGTAAAACATTGCTTTACAACATTATAAAAATATGTAACGCAATAAAAAGCTCCAGGCCTAATAGAATTTTTTAGAAACATCTCTTCTTACGATTATTATGTATCTTAAAATAGCAGGATTTAAAAGTAGGCTACTTTAAGGACCCAGAAAATAGATATACTTGTACATAAGAAGAATCTGCGCTAGGAATATCAAATGCCGTAATAAACATGTTTTTCGACATTTGTATCCTTTAACAGTTGATTAATACGAATTTGATGGAAGTTGAAAATTTCCCATCACATACAACGTTCTTTTTTGCGGCTCGCACTCGAACGATGACGTCACAATTTGAGGTGCAATGCCTCCACCCGGTGCCTTCGTGAAAAGGCGCCACTCCATCTCTAGATTGCCATTTTTAATTTGTTGTATCGACTTTAGACGCAACGCGACTTCAAGCCCCTTGGGGAACGTCGAGCGCTTCGTGCTTTTTTTTTAGTAATCCTCCATTAATTAACATAGTCCGTCACGATCGTCTCAGTCGGTTGCCAAGAAGACAACCGAATAGCATCTCCGCGTAGTCTCTCTTACTAAATACGCGCTCCTGCGTCACCAGCGGCCCGAATTGGGAAGGATAAGGATATGAGTATGGTTTAGTAGTAATTGATCCCATTTCTTACAATGCAATTAGCACATGTGACTTGTTAACCGTGAGGGCAGAAGTACACAGTTGATTGGCATTACGGTATATTTGAGCTTAAGTTATACACAAATAAAGTCTTGAAAATCCACAAAAGTTAAGTGGCTCATATAATGTATTTTTTGTTCATAAAACTATTGAAAAACATATTACAGTGAAATCTGCCTTAGCCGAGATTCGATCGGGACACGAATTCCGGTTTAGGGAGGTTTCCGTTTTATACCAGGTTGTCCATTTTTGACACTTGTGTTATCAACGTTTCTCCCCTGAAAGTAGTAAATTACATGACTTTATTATAATTATCAAAATACATTAACATATTGGAAGTATGGTCTATGGAAGAAATCACCAATAAATGAATATAAAACACTCATCGTTGATATTACTCGCGCAACTTTTCTTGAACGATGACCTTGATCCCCCTCCCTTGTGCAATAAACAGTTGAAGGCAAAAGCTCGCAGCGGGCACTGTTGACAACCTTCCAAGCATTAAAACTTCGTTGGCGCGAAACAGAAGCTAGTCAAAGCCAGTTGCTTTCATAGTGCAGAACTCCTGTTCTGATTTAGTGTCAATATCGAAAGAAATGGATGAGTCAAGTCCAGTTCCGTCAAGGGAGTCTCCAAAAACTCCCGAAAAAGTTAAGCACAAGATTCAGTTTTGACTTTCATTTCACAGACGTTGGCATTACTTAAAATACTCTAGTGGCCGACTTTGTAACTAATACCCCCACTCCACCCGAAATCGTCAATCCATCGTTCAAGAAAAGTTACCCGAGTAATAGCTTCTGCGTTCATCGGCTGTATTCGGACTGCTTGCTGACTTGGCCTGACTGACTTAACGGGCTGCTTGACGCCTTGAAAGATTTAATTTTGGGAGGTACTTTACGAAGCCCATCGGACATTTTTAAAAAAAGACACCAGAGAGAACTTCATTGTTGAACGGCGAGAGAGAGGCGACAGTAAGATAAAGCGGTTTTATTTACAGTCGTGCTTGGGTCATAGTTTATAAATTAGCCTTCTAAAAATGGTTTGGAGGAAAATTTATTATCCATATTTTTTGTCTGTATTGCGAGTTATAGAACAGACATTTTCGCTAAACGAAAGAACACTTATCTATGCATATTTCAGCATTTCACCAGTAATACATTCCATATTATACTCTTTCAAAATTTCAACGAGTGTAAAGAAATATAGTAGGAGGTCGATTATCTGTTGTTTTTTTTTATAGAAAATAGGTTCGCTTTCTGGGTAAACATTTTGTGAGTTGAAAATTAAACAAAGATTTCCCAAACTTAAGGATTTATTTTACATTTTTACCTAATAAACATGTTGCTGTTTCTCGACTTTAGATCATTGAAGTTCATTTTACTTTTCTAAATGTTTATTGTATTAGATGAGTTTGGCCTCAGAAACAAGTTACTGAACATTTTTGAAATATAAACACTGAATCACATTATTATAAACTTTAAATTTTTATTTTCCTCGCTTCGTTTGAGGCGGTAATAAATGGACTTAATACTACAAATCGTAGAAATTATTAATTTAATAAGTTTAATTCTTACCAAATCATTGACACATTAACGCTATAAATTCGTGTAAGGGAGAAGGGCGAACCACCAAGTAATCGTTGTTCAAATGATTCCAACCGATTCCAACAGTTGAAAAGGCGGGAAAGAACAGTTGATTTATCCAATCACTCGTTGCCAACACTAGGTTGAAGGACGTGGGAGGACGTGCTTTGGGTAAGCGAGTAGAGGGCCGTCCAGCAAAGGGTGGTGGAAGTGGAGGGTGCGGCGCGCTAGTGAAAGGGCGGGCCCTTCGCTGCAGGCGGAGATGACGCCAGGTTGGCTCGAACTTTTGAGACATACGGACCAAACATATCTCTCGTCGTTAATATTTACAATACGGACGCTTTTTGATACGACGGATACTTTATTGCATTCGTGATTAGATAATCTTAAAATGATTCCCAGTGAAGATTTTCGAAACTGAAAAGTGTTATGTGAAAATGAGCTCAAAATTATGCATTTATCAGAAACGCTCGAACGACATTTTCTCAACAACAACTTCAAATTTGTCAACGAAAATTTGTATAAAAGGCTAGGTTATATTCTTCTTTTGTAATCTAAAAATCATATTCCGTTCTACCATTAGGAGATCTAAAAATTGAGAAAATGTGGAAAAATATCCTGTAATCGGTATTAGAAGATTGCTGGAAAGGGGGCGGATTCCCTTTGTTGGCTACTGCTCCACACCAATTCTTGTTCTACCAGAGGGCAAAGACCCCCTGGGTAGGCACCTAAGTTTTTCGCCTATTTTATAAGTGCTACTGTATAAAAAATAAAATATATATCAGTGCCAAAGTTAACGAATTTCGGGCGTCCGTGCCACTCGAGTAGAAGACTTTCTCCCTGTTTTATAAACTGTCGTATTTTTAAGTATTTATTTTACAAAAATGTATTAATTATTGTTATTGAGAGAAATATTACCTACATTCAATTTTTATAATAAAAAAATTCAGAATGTTCATAAATAGTGTCAAAAGTGTTCATTGGTGTTCGCGGAGTGGGGGAACCTTACTTAACCAAAATTTGACATAATTTACTGTATAATTTGTTCAATGTATTAATAGTAACAAATATATGGTTATTTAAAAATATAAATAAGTATTATATGTTTACTGTTTTTATCAACATTTTTAAAACAATTTTTACTTCCTCGCACTTCCTAACCTAAGAAGAGAAAGAATTGAAATCGTGCGTTGGAAAACAGCGAATTTTCGACACAAAAAATCTTATTTCCGAATCCTGGTAACGAAAAAGAATATAAATCCAGTTGCTAAATGTAGAAAAAAACTCCTCTAACATGTAATGTAACCAGGATCCATGTTTTGTGCGTCGATCATTCGGAAAAAATCGTTTGACGGCAAAGCATATTTCTGCCCGTCTATCTTTTCACAAGAAAACACAAGAATATGGAGAGAAAGTATGTGTTGCTGAAGCACAACTAGTTTGAATTTGTCTGTGCTTAATTCAAATTTTGAGGATTGAATTTCATTGCGTTATAACTCCCCCCCCCTATCCGTGTTGTAATGAAATCAACTGGGATTTTTTTGAATATGATTTGTGCCCTTTTAAAGCTTGCAATTTGAATGTGTTAAATATTTGAAAATAAAAAATTATTTTGGAACAAAAAAATTGCAGTATTTTGCAGTCACAACTTGCTATCGGTTCAGTTTCCGATTAAAAAATAAACATTTAAATATTTTTGTATCAAACAGTATATATTCAATATATTTTGCTTGCAATGAACATTGGGGTCCAATTATTGCCATACTCCAGTCTTTGTCTATATACAGAGGTGTACAGGTATACAGAAACTAGCCACACCGGTTTTACCATTAACACCATTGATAATTCAGGTGGCAGAAGTAAACAGTTAATTTGAAGAGTTGCGTAATATTTGGGCTTAGCTTTTACACAAATAAAGTATTAACAGTCCACAAATTATTTTTGGCTCATACATTTTATGTATATATTTTAACCATTAATTCGCGGCTTCCAACTTGTAAGACATTGAGAGGCGATAGTGCTGCCCTCACCAGCCCTGAAAGTCACGTGATGAACTTCGTAGACTGTACCAGAGAGTATACTGGTGAACTCTAGAGGTTCGAGCGCTAGTGGAGCATTCCAGCACCAGTGTCCATTCGTTCTTCGGATTCATTCTTCGATCTAGTGACGTCAGAATCACGGTGTAAGAGTCGATTCGTTACGAGACCCGACCCCACAGTGTAAGAAATTTTCTTACACTTTGCCTGATCCCAATAATAATTTCCAGGGTAATACACCGTGTGGATAATTTTAAAAGCCCCCCCCATCACGGATTAAGAACACCGTGGCCACTGTTTAAAAGAGTTCTTGTCTACATCTTTAACCACGGTGTAGTCTCTTACACCATGTACTCCAATTAAAAGAGAGTGGCACTTTAAGTACCTCAAGGTCACAAGCTGGAAGCAGAAAGGAACATTTCCATACAATCGGGAGCTTCTATACTAGAAATTTAAGTCATAGCGAAGATTGCAATTAGATAAAAGTGCCCCTTCCCCGACCTGCTTGTGACCTTGAGGAGCTATACCATGGAGGAATATGTTTATATATGGCTTCACTGTTTATATCAGAATATAAACATCGATTTAAACACAGTGGCACACAAAGATTACGAGGAGAGGGGAACACAATAGTCCAATAGAGAGCTTCGTTACGATGAACTTTTGGTATTAGAGCTCCCGATTAGGTTACATTTCCCTCCTCTCCTAACAACGTGTACCAATGTGACTATGTTTAAGTTGGAGTGTAGCTTGTATTACCATGCTTGGGTGATAGGAAACCTGTCAAATGCAGCTATAAATAAATTGAAGTAAAGTAACAACGCATATACCAGGCAATACCAAGGAAGGTTGTTTCCTGAACTGTCAAACGAGTCAACTACACTACATGGTGTTTATTGCATTTCGTTCGTTATTGACAGATGTGAAAAAATAGGTGTAACGTAAATTCACCGCAGTAAAATTTATAAAACAAATTGTAATAAATGTTTTGAGTAAAAGAATAGCTATGAGTGGTGGTTGGGTTCCCAGCAAAAGTACAGTTTATGTATCTAACTTACCTTTTTCATTGACCAACAATGATTTATACAAAATATTTGAGAAATATGGAAGAGTTGTCAAGTAAGTAGATCCTAAACTTCATTTTCATACCTTGAGGCACACAACAATACAAAACTCAGGACATGTTTATCTTTGCAGAATCACAGTAGTAAAGGATAAGATCACAAGAAGAAGTAAAGGAGTGGCGTTTGTCCTCTTCTTGAAAAAAGATGATGCTGTAAATTGCGCAAAGTCGATGAATGGGCAGACGGTAGGTAGGATTTCTGCAGGTGCAGGGATCTGTGTTTTAAATATTTCTGTATGTATTAAAATTAAGCTGGCGAGTAACAAGACTTTGCTAAAACTACAAAATTTTCCCAACTTTACTAAGTTTTAGGATTTTGGTTTAATTGTTTTGCTCTGAAAAACCTAGTCATTGCTTTTTTAAATTGGAATTGCATGTTTGCAAGTGTCAGATTCTTTCAACATCAAATTCTCAATCAAACTATATTTTTAACAACATTTATTATATCATCAATCATGGATAATCTCAAATAAAAATGTTGACAATGGTTTAAAATTATATATTTGAAGCACAAATATTCATTTTTATTAAAATTTACAGACAGCAGTCATTTTATTACGCAGAATGAACAATTGTAATAAAAATAATACACATTATAGAACATTATCAATTTTTCTATGAATATCTTCCAAAAGCTAAGCAGCCGCTACTCATTGTCTTAAAATGTGCATTTGTACCCTTAAAATATAAACAACAGAGACAATCAAAATAATATCTTACAGCTTTTTGGTCGTGTATTGAAGAGTAGTTTGGCTATTGACAATGGACGTAGTGCTGAATTTATTCGGCGGAAAGCCTATCCTGATAAGACTCGATGTTATGAATGTGGTGAAGAAGGACATATGAGTTACAAATGTCCTCACAATGCCTTGGGAGAACGAGAACCACCACCAAAAAAAATGAAAAAGAAGAAAGCTAGAAAGGTAAGTTCCTCATATTAGGTTTTAATATTTGTAGAAACAAAAAGTAGTATTGAGAAATCATGATTAAGTTAGAATTATATATGGAGCCTGTTTTAATACTATAATTATTGTGTTTGGCCCTTTTTGGTCAACAGTTTAGAATCGCATCTTTCTATTTCTTATTTAAGATCGGAAAGTTAGTTATAATGTTACTGTATGTGACTGAGGGAGAAAAGTTTCTTTTAGTGACCAGGAGCAAAGTAAGTATACACTCATTGGATTAAGGAAAACTGAACAAACAGTCCAATTGCATGGGCCGCCCAAGGGGCCATCCATAAATTACATAATGAACATTTGGAGTACTTTGAATTCCCCCTCTGGCCCCTGTAACTCGCATTTGAACTGCTCATCTCCATTGCTTTCTTTATTTTATTTTGCCAGAATACATAAAATTAAAATTTAATACTGTATTGCATCAGGATCGAGAAGGAGAAGAAGTGGAAGAGGAAGAAGAGGAAATGTATGGTGAAGATGAATCCAAAGCTACTGTATCTCACGTAGCTCAGTCGTCAGATGAAGAAATTGAAGATGTGGAAACACTAAGCGCTGCCATTCAACTGGAAGTAAGTAATGTTGCAATAGTCGAGAGAAAATTGTCATTCCAGAAATGTAATTTCAGTATTGGTTTACAATTCTTGTCATTATAATCGTTAGATTGATTAAAAGATTTCAGTACAACTTTACGACGTTGTTCAAACCAACTTTTCAGGTTTTCGGGAAGTGGAAACACAGTAAAGGGGAAGTTTTACTTTCTCCCTATTGCTTATGCTGTAGAGAGAAAGTTATGTAAGGCTGCACCAAAAAAACTACAAATTTTTGGCAGAGAAACTTTTATGAAAGGGTCCTGGTAACACAAAAGTGGATAAATCCAGTTTCTAAATTTAGAGAAAAATTCCTCTAGTACGTAAATGGAATTGCGTTCATTCATCTTCTGTCCATCCGTGAGCAACGCTAACGACTAAACTGTTCATCTGATTGCATAGTGTGAAGGATGTTTAAGAGAATGGTGTTGGTGTCATTTTCATTGAAAACTGATTTTTCGAACATTGCAAAAATTCAAATTTTTTTTGGCATCTTCCTACAACAATTGTGAAGATAGACATGTTTTTCCATAATGAAATCTGTTCTTTGAGATTTTGAATGAAGACATGTACAATTTTTCAAAAACTTGAGTACTTTTCGCGTAATTTTACATGAAAGTACGGGCGACAAAGTATGTGTTGTTTTAGACCCACTAATTTTGGGGAAGCTTTGGTGATCAAGAGTATCTGCAATGTTGTGTGAGTTCATTATATAGCATTAAGGAAATTTGAAACAGGATTTTATTTAGTGAAATATAACAAATTAATAAGAAGGATGTAATTATACTTAGCCAAAGTGATGTGGAAATAAATACTTTCTTAAAAAAGATACTATTCATGTTTACCATCCAATAGATATATGAGGTCAATTTTCCCCAAATGTTTTGTATAAAATGCACTGATATTTATGCATTGTACAGATTTACAGATATTATATGTTAATTACGAGAGCTGAAGGCCTTGGCTTGATTCTCAACTTAGCAAGCAACTATTCTCAACCTCAGAAAGCACATAGCAAAAGGTCAAGTTTGCCCTAAATGTACTCTGGCATAAAAACTCGAGAAATATGTATAATTAAGCCATTTTGTAGAAATACTTGTAAGCGTGTGCGGCTCAAGTTCTTGACTTCTTGGCTGTCCAGGTGATGCCACGTCATTGGCTGAGAGGCCAATGTTTCACCTGTTATGACGCATGCTTCCTTGCTACTTGTTCACTATCCTGAGGAAGCCTGCAATATGACAAGCTATACATCCGCCTCTTAGCGATTTTATAGATATTTCATTTGTGTAGTGCGGAACCACAAAGTAGTTTATTGAAAGTATCTTTAAGAACCAAGCACGGAGTAGGTAATTTTTACGAATTTCCAAGCATGTGTTTCTTGTAATTTTATGTCAAGTGCACGAGATGTCCACTTCCTCCAAAACCTTATCCTCTCCCTCTGGCACCTCAGTCACTCTTCTTTAAGGGTACTCTGTGCTTTAACCAACCATAGATTTGTATTTGCTTTAAAGTAAAGATAAATCTTTTCATCACTTCATTCATTTAACGATTACTCATGTATATGTAGGCCATAATCTCCCTCACCATCATATTTATGCATGTAATTTTCCTCAATGTATTCTCAGAGTTTTGATGTTGTTTTCCAGCAAGCCCGGGCAGCTATGGAGAAAAATGAATGTGCAGAAAAAACAGAAACTTGTGATGTGAAACCCAAGAAAAGGTTTCGACCAAACAGTTATTTCAGTGATGAAGAAGATGAAAGTGACTGAAAAGAAGAGGGAAGAAGTGAGTGGTCTCAGTGCATAATAGAACAATGCAGAACATTGGGATCAATTTGTTTTATTTAAAGTTTTACACAATGTGCAAATGAATCAGCCTTACTATATTTTCACAGAATTGAGCCAGCCCCTCCTTAGACTTACGAACAATTGGGATCTGACTTTTCTTAGCACCGTGATTAGCTACTGTACTTTATTTGTATAAAATAATTTTTAAAGAATCAAAATAAAGAGGTTTATGATAAAATTACAAAGAAAGGAATGTTAGCATTTACATTGTATCAGTCAAAGACTGGGAACTAAGAATAAACATACAGAGATGATAGCATTTGTATTTGGTATACTAGTTAGTATTGTACTTAATTTAAGGTATCTTAAAATCATCAGGTTAGACCTTGCTTCTTAAAAGACATAAAAGGGAAGAAAGGTTTTAGCCAAATGGAATGGTGCACCTTCAAATGGATGCTACGTTCATGGAATGGCTAGGCCATTAGAAAGAAAGTAACTTTAACCCTTTGTGATTCTGAGTCAAATGGGACTGAACACTGGGAAATTGGTGTTTGTTAATGTCAGGTTAATGTCAAGTTTTACTTGACATTACATTGCACACTTAATTATTGAAGCTCACAGGATTGTGCCAAAGCCAGGAAGAACTGACATTTAGTAATAATTTATTTTATTTTTTATGTTTATGTGTATGTTATCTTTCAGTGTAAAATACTTCCCACTTGTCCCTGTGCCATACTTGCGGCAAACACATGGCACTTGAAATTCAAATTAGAGTTGACAGGGAAGCACAGTGTGAAATATTAAGATCACAAAGGATTAAAATATATACATTGTGTATCAACAACAAGCTATAAATGATGTGCCAGAAGCAGATGAGAACATACAACTATTTTAAAATCATTTTGTTATGAACATTCTTTTAAAAATGAAATTATGTATTAACCCGTATCGATAACAAATATTTCATAGTATTTAGAAAATATTAATCCATCTTTCAGGTACTCTGTCCATCACCTCTCTTTTCAGTGTATCAAGTTAACCCATTCACGTCGCACTCTAAATGAAACCAAAGATGGTTGGACAGGAAAATTGGTGAATAAACTTTCAAAAGCGCACATTTCGATGTTACAGGAGAACTCTCAAAAAATATTACACCACTTAACAGGATTTTAGTAATACAATGAACTAGTGGAGACCATCGGAATTTCAACTTCAATCATATAATGTTATGTATCTGTGGGATACACTGAAACAACGTATCTACTTATTAGAACAATATTAAGTGACTCAAATGCTACTCGTGTAGAGAATTATACATTTGCCATAATTAATTTGAGAGTTATAATACATTATTTAGCACAACCATCCTGAATTTCTTTTAGATACTTGTCATGTGGTGAAGTGGGTATTATTAAGCATTTTACATAGGACATGAATGTGCAATCTCTCTAAAAAACACTCACTCAAATTTATGTACACACACACTCACACTTACATTTTTACAACTTCCTATCAAAACACTGACCAAACATTTAGATCCAAAAAGAAACAACAAAATCACTTGACCTTATGAGAATTCAAAACAGTCTTTCACAATAATTCACAGCAACAGACAGCAGAGGAAGAAGCTAGATAGTGAGATAGATTGAAGTGCAGTCCTTTACTTCATGGGGCTGGCTAGCGTGGCTCGAGGCAGCAGTACTGAAGGCAGTTGCAGAGCCGGGAGGGCATAGCCACGAGGGAGTTGCTGCGCCGACGCTGCCTATACCGTCGCTGTTGCTGCTGATGGTGAGTCTCTGCATTAGGGGGCGCAGCTGGCACAGGGCCCTGGTGCAGCAGCCACTGGGCAGCCTCGTCTCACTTTGTTGTGTCTGTCGCACCACTTGATTTGCTGCCCTTGCTCATGCACTTGAAACTGCGCTGTTTAGCAAAGGGTGATCTGCCCAGAGAATTGGCAGAGCCATCCGAGCAGCCTCCAACATCAAGGGCAGGTTCTGGAAATTGCACATTCCAACACATACACGTCAATCTCGAAACAACTCCTGAAATTGTTTCTTAATTTACACTAAAAAAGATCATGGATTGATCTTCCATTTGAATTCGTAGAAGAAACAAATACCATATTTATACTATAATTTTTCTGGAATTGTATCCTGCTTCCCACAAACATAACTTTTAATGCCTGTAACTAAGTTTCACCAAAATGAGTACATTACCACCATCATCAGTCAACGACAATTATTTTCTGCCACGGGCTTTCTTGATTCTCAAAGTACTTAAAGTAAATAATACATAAAACTTGTTTTGAGCTGCATCAACAATAGAAATTAGAATTTATGATCTGGGAGGAATGACGATAATGGGGAAAAGAGTTTTGAATTACAGTAGAAGTATAAATTAGAACATGCAATAAAAAATGAGCTTGAAGTGAAAAGATATCAAGAATTTAATTTTGTTCAGGTCAGTTATTAAACTTAAATCCAAATGAAAGATGCTAGACTATAGTTTTGAATCTTTTTGTTGTGTAATCTAGCATTCACTAGCAGATTTAGGGTAGTCCTGGTTGTTGTACAAAAATATCTGTAAAGTGATAGTGATAAGAAGTATTTAGTAACAAAATAGCTACTTCAGCTGTAAAAGTGTCCACAAAATGAATAAATTTAAACAATGAAGGAATTGTGTTTTAGTTAAGTTAAAAATAACTACTTCAGGTGCAAAAGTGTCCACAAAATGAATAAATTTAAACAATGAAGGAATTGTGTTTTAGTGCTACTGTAAATTAAAGTTCAATTCAAGAACAGTACAAAATGTTTAAATTTTCCAAAATCTCCAACACAATCTCATATAAACAATGAAAAGAGGACTTTTGTTCAAGTACAAACAAACAAGCATACATACATACATTTAGACATTTTGCTAAGAATTTCTCAGCTGTCACCTCGGGTATTAAACTCTTGAATACCCTGGATATAATTTTCATTCATTCTTTTCAGCATAAATTTCTAAATCTCTAAATTAATATCCTAGAACTACGTTAATGGTATTAAAAAAACTTTTTCTGTAACTTTGGTAAAAATTGTTAAATTTACTAAATCTGTAGAACTACTATCAAGACTCTACTTCTTTCAATGTCAAATGTTATTTAGAACCACCAAAGTTCAATTAATTGGAGTTTCACTGTACCTTTCTCCGTTGGAGACCCAAGAGTGAGACTTGAAAGAGAAGAACTCAAATTCATGTTACTGGAGACGCTGAGCATTGAGGGGTATTGCACCAACTCCATTTCTCCTTCCTCCACCGGAAGACAGGTCTCTACCATAGCCTCCAGGCAGTTCACAAACAACTCTGCATTTTCTGCAGTGCAGTTACTCTGAAAGCAAGTCAAGAAAAGACAATGTCTAATATACAACCAAATGCCTTTGTTTTGCATATGGACATACAAGTAGTTTCATTATGTACATGTTTTTTTGAGATTTCCTTTTAGTAGTTCTGGTATGAGTAAAGCCAGGGCTGTGGGTTGCGATTTTGTTAGCAATTTTATAAAGTCAAATCTGTAGATCATTTATCAAAGCAGATAAATTTTCTTTACTCTGGAGAGAAAATTTCTAGTTTTCAGATGTTGCAGACCTCACTTTGTTGGTCATTTTATAAGATTTATCTTTACTTAGAAAAAGGGGAGAGATTCTAGAGCTCAAGAAAACAAGCAAATTATAATTCTTCCTCACACATCATATGCAGCTTTTACAGTTTTTTTATTCAAATCAATAAAATCGAAATTGCATTTGTGCTTTAAATTGTGCTTAAATAAAGAAATTTGTTGGTCCAGAAAACCTGGTTCAGAAACCTTAAGATTAAAAATAGAAATTGAAGTTTCTAACAAATCAGCACAAGGAAAAATGTGAAGAGTTCGACTCCAATATTATGTAATTGCATAAGCAAGAATGGTAGACATTCCACAGGTGAAGGCTGTTCGGTCATCAATAGATGCACTGATGATCAAATATCCAAATAATTAATTTTCATTATTTTAGAAATTTGAATATTAAGAAAAATCTACAGATATTATTTGTAATAAAATAAAAAACTGAGAAAAAGTCTTGAATCAACGAGAAGCATGTAAAGGATTTGCCAATATTAGCACATTGAATTGAGAGCTCACCGCCACTCAAAGAAATTTATCCCAGCCACTTCGTATCATATTCCTTTGCATGGTGATAAGAACTTCAGTCATCACTGTTTTTGTAGAATCTTGGCTACTCCCGTCCATGCATAGCGAAAATGCACCATAACTACATAGTGTGAACTTGAAAGAGAAACGGTGTGTAGTGATTGTATTAGAGAGTTATTAATTTTTTTCTTATATAGGATTGCTTTCGCCTATGGTATTGGCCTATTATTTTCCTATTTTCATTTGAAATATCTTTTTATAAACTTCAAAAAATGTGTTTGATACAGTCAATATTTGATTTACCTTGAAATAACTTTTACAAACTATTATAAATGTTTCTGAAGCATTGTGTATAAACAATGGAAGTTGCATATGATAGAGGTTTTTTTTTATATAAAATATTTTATATGAATAAATTAAATTTATTACGTTATTGAAAGTAACTTATAAAATATATACTTATGTAAAATAATTATTTACACTCAGCAAGTTATTGTACACATTCCTCTTTACCACTTCCAATTGTCAGTTAAGCTGGGGGTCCAAAAATACCCAAGGTATAGTACTGGATTGTCAATTGCAGATATGTTATGACAGTTAAACAGTAAATTTCACTACTCCTGTTCATTCAGAAAACTTATGGCCCTGTGATGCATGATAAAAATAGATTGTAATTCTACATGTGTATTCACTAAGACCAGTATTCTACTTAATATCTTTCTTACATTTCTTCCTGTAAAAAAATTATTTACAAATAGTACATGAAAGATACAAAATAAAATTTAGATGACAATGGAAATAAAATCTACATGTAAACAAAAGGAAATGTGAGTATGTCTGTCGCATATAAATACAAAACCTACTCGACCATATTTGTTAAAATTTTCACACGTTCTCATTAGTACCATTTAAAGAGTGGTTTGAATTAAATCAGATATGTGGGGGTGTTATTTTTGCAAAGTTAATCAATGAGGTGCTCTGCACTATTCCCAGAGGACCTTTCTTGAAGTAGGATCTATGGACATCTTTTATAACTACAAGCCTTGCTTCGACTCACAATATCGAATAACATCAAAGTTGTGATCTAGAAAGCAGGAAATCTGAGTGGTTAAAAAAGTATGGTCAAGGGCTCCTGCACATGTGTTGAATTTACGCGCATTGTAATATAACACTATTTTCTGTAAAAGGTACACAAGTGCTTTGGCTGTTCTACAAAAGATACACAGTGTGTGTGTGTGTATCTTTTGCAGAACAGCCAAAGTAGCCAGTGTTGTGTCTCCAATTGTATAGAAACAGTAATGTAGAATAGATGATACTTCACATAAAACTTGAATAGACTTTTGGATGCTATTATTTTTGGTTTATAATCTAACATGGCCTCTTATACTATGAATGAAATCATTTCATTTTCTATTAAAATTTATCACTGAACTAAAAAATTAATTTACCTTGGTAAAAGGCCCAGCAAATCTCCACAAACCACCAAATCCACAACTCTGAAGATAATGCAGCTGTTGTTGGCTTGTGTCTTCACATGCAATCATATTCTGAATGATACTCTGCACTGCACTAAGAATAACTTGGTCATGGCATACAGAGATAACATTATTAATTCTTGCATCAAGAAGACTGTGTCTGTAATGTACATTTAAAAATATTAATGCAGAGAAGTAACATGGTAACAGTGAAAATTCTGAGTAATTAATGCATTCAAACCTAATGAGTTTATCAAATCAAAAAATCCATATTCGCATAACGTGAAAAACTTACATGACAGGGAATACTTTTGGAAATACTACTGATGCCTCAGCTAAATACTGATAGAGGATTCTTGTTTCATTTTCATCAGTAGTGTATTTGACTAGAGTGGCCAAAACTGTCATGACCAAAGCTTGTGTTGAAAAGTCTGTGAGGACTTCAGGATCCAAAAGAATGTTGTTTTCATTGGATACAGATACACGAGCACTGCGATTCTAAACAAGGAAAATAAAATATATTACATCTTTGAACTATAAAAAATGTTTGATTGCAATCGCAGATTACCACTTTTGTTATGAAAACATATTCAACAAAATAAGTTAAATGGTTTGATATGCATTCAAAGTTTAAAACTTCAGAAAAAACAATTAAATAAAATGTAATATAAATTCTTCAAATTACATAATAAATTAAGTTGTACTAGTCATTCCTCATCAGCATGTTACTAATCTTACCTTCCATGCAAGCTATGATTTAAGTGCTTGTATTAAATGAAATCAACTTACACGACTTGAGAGCAAAAAATGCACATCAGATTGGTGCGTATATCTAAATTCAGACTTCTCAGCAAGGGTTTTCTACTGAGAAATAGAGTTTCCCAGGACTCAATATCAATAACTATTTAATGCATTTCCAAATCCCATGCAGCAAGATCATGCTCATGCACCATTGACCCATTGGGGAAACAAACCATATGAGTTAACATACTCATACATGCAACGGTCATGCTTCACAAATTTTCACCATTGAATCAAGCACTGTCTGTAGTAATGAAGTTATAAAACATCATGTAAAAAATTACAATCTCCCGCCCTGCAACAATACTCATTGCAGAAATGAAAGTGTAGCAACAATCATCCCAGATAATTCTTGAAATGTCTTGGAAAAAGTCTGGGTTTGCCTACATATCTCCTGTAACTATAAGGTAGATGTAATAATAATAAATGCAAATTCAATTTTCATAAATGAGTTGATCTGTGCTAATCAGGGAAATATTTATGAGAGAAGTTATCAAGACTGGGAGGAGGTTTGTATCTAACCTTTAGGGTGTGTTATGACCTTCCCTAATTTGGGGAAATGCCTACCTTTGTTTCTGACTCGTCACCAGCTTTTTGCTCTTTGGTTGTGGGCACCGAGAAAGAGCGTTGTGTTTTGAAGAGGACTCGTGCAGTCTGTGTGAGGTCCCGACAGACAAGGCAGACAGACAAGCAGGTTACGTTTGGTCAGACAGAGAAGAGAGAACAGACATTCAGTCAAAAATTATGCAAGAAAAGTCAGGCAAGAAAAACCAACCAGGCTGACAAACATGTACAGAGCACTCTGCGGCATCAATGGTCCTTCAAACCCTTACACAAATACTCACTGTTATATCATGTACTTAAAAAACTAAATTCACCATTAATTAATAACTATGTATATATGAAATTTTTGACTCAATTCAGTACTTTAGTCCTTTTTTAAGATTCTTATATTACCAACATTTCTTGAAACATTTTTAGTCGCTGAATAAAATATTTAATCACAGTGATTATAAAACTCACGTATATAATGAATTTGATTTTTATATGATATGAAATGTATGTTTCAAAAGTTACAGAGTAAAGAACATCTTTGAATAATTATTTATATTTTTATATATCAATAAGTGAAAGTTTCCAAAGATGCAGACAATTCGAAAAGGATTTTTTTAAATTAATGTTAATGTCTTGAAGTTTAAATAAGAATGAAAATTAATTACTTTATTGTTGAATATAAGAAATATGTTGTTGTAGTTCAATAATATGTTTCTGCTACATATAAGAAGTATTTACGTTGAAACAAACATCTTATGAACTTACAACTGGGAATATAACATGATTTTGTATCCATGGCAAATACGTCTACCAAAACTATCTTGTATACAAATATGAAGCATGATTATATTAAACAATGCTACAATCATTACCTTGTGCCCAAAGGTAATCAACTGATTTATTTCAAAATATCAGTTCAATCCAGTTATTTTTAATTATGCAATGAAATATTCTTAACTTTTGAATCACTTTTTCTGAAGTAATAAAGAGCTGTACATGTCTGACATCCTTCTCTGAATAAGAAAATTGTATTTATTTCAAAAGTTGAAGCCTATAAAACAGTGAAGTAAATGTCTTATGTAATCCTTTAAGTTTTTTTTAGTTACAAAAAATTAAATAAGAACTCCACTTATTGGATGTGATGGGAGTTTGAACAAAACAATCATCTCATAATTGCTTTGAAGACGAAAAAATATTATGATGAACTGAAAACAATTTTTAGAAGCCAATTTCAAGGACAAATGTACAAGGATGTAGAAATAATGCACGAATGGAGGATGCAAATGAGTAATAAAGTATTGTTTGGAATAAAAATGTTTTGTGCCATTGTAAGTTACTTAAAAAAACACCCATCAAATCATTTCTATGAATAAAGTAGAGGAAAATATAAATTTTCACCATCAGAAATAAAAGTGTTTACATGACAAAACAAACTGAACAGAGGCCATAATGAAATTGTATAATTAGAATCATATGTTACAGTCCTTACTATAATGTTCGCAGGAGAATGCAAGCAGTGACACTGAAAGAAAAAAAAAACTCCTCCTCAGAGCTATCAATAATGGTTTATGTATTGGTACAGCTAAACAGAATATCTTTTCTTTAATGATATAACAGTGCCTTTGCATAGATACCCCAGAGGCTCTTCTCAGGCTGGGAAGACTGAACAGCCATGTCACAAAATACTTTGCACCAAGTGCAACAGACAAATGCCTCTTCTTACTTTGCCCACGGCAGTAGCACCAGCCCCCTCCACACCCGATTTAGGCGCGGGAACAGATGAAGAGCGCTGGGTGCGAAACAGAGGCCGCGCTGAGCCGGTGCCTGCTGCAGGGGGAGGGGGCGCCTGGGGACCGAGGTCCAGCGACCGCCAGCCCTTATTGCTATTAGTAGACGAGTCCCCCCCGCCACATGCAGATGTAGGTGCAGGTGAATGGACCTACAGTAGCACAAGGTTAGCTAGGCATCACACTTTCAACACAGCTTCCTCACACCTCCCAAAACAACAGACCTATTACAATACACACAAATACAGAACAACCCACAAGGGATGGGTTCAATTGATTAAAAATGTATGTAATCAACTTAAGAGAAAAACAAATAATTCTGAATTTTTAGAGCAAACCATAGATTCACCAATTCACAGAAATTTCCAACCTGATTTACATTATTGATGAGTAGTTCAAGATAATTAGCTGCCCTGCAAACAAATCACTTACATTTTCTCGTATAGAATTGTACATCATTGACAATCCTTTCAGAAACAATATACACGTAAAAAGAAACGATTCTCAAATTATATTGCAAAAAGAAACAGTGTAGTCAAAGACTAATACAACTTCCGTCATCAAGTTTTGTAAGATTGAGAATACAATATATCATTTAAATAGCTTAAATGTTGAACGTAGGAGTTATTGCATTATTTACAAGTTATAATTTTTTATTTTGTAGTTATTCAATGAATACGAACTTAACAGTTGATGTACTTCTTATGTTATTGGGATGACTTACACATGAATAACTCCAAGTATTTACCCAAAGACCAACAATATTTTGTTACAAAACTTAATTCTTTTTCTACTGTTATTATTTGCAAATTCAATGAGTGAACTTGATTTATATGATAATGACCTCTAATATCGTAATATTATACTTCAACCACGAGTTGGCTTTGTTACTACACACAACAAATTTTCAATCAACTTCAGAAGTATGAGTCACTCAACCTGAAAATTAAACTACACAGATCTGCTGCAATTCTCCTTTGACTCTTGATATTTCTGTAAAAACATTATAAGACAAATTTCAATACATAAATGAAATGTAATAAATTGTTTGTTCCTTGATGTGGAAAAAAAGCCATTCAATCCAATTCTGTTTCCTCCATTTAAGTTCCATTAAAAAGATCAGACACTGTATTCAAGCACTGCCTCTGTATCAAATAACGAACAACTCAAATTATTTCCCCTTTAACTTGAATTGAGCAGTACTTGCACTGTGTCTCTACTGCATGTTTCTTTATAAGGGGTTTACTGTCCCCAACCCGTTACATCCTCCACCGCACACAAACACGGGAAAAGGGGAAATCTACAGACAGAACACCCTGGACCTAAGCCAGTCCTCAGTGTTCACTACTCATCTGATAAAATGCGCAAGAGTTTCAGTTGGCGTGCCTGTGCAAGTGCTGATGGATCCAGAAGGTCCCATGACTTCTGCCTACGGTTGGCAGGAGTAAAGTTTGAGCTGCCACTGGCACTACTGCTGCCTGCTGAGCTGCTCAACGCCTGGCTGCCACAGCTGTTGCGGTGTGAAGCAGGAGTGACTTGCGTACTGTTAGCACTGCTGCCTACAGAAGACGCCATCTGGGCCTAGTGACACCCAGCACAATGTTCTACATTCTCGCTCTTCCTGTCACTCCTGTGCTTGTGCAGGTGGGAGGTAAAAATGCCTGTTGCCCATGGTCAAAATGCAACTATCCCTTCCTATGGTTTAGTTGTTTCAGAGTCTGTTCAATTCAAATTACTGGGGATAAGTCCAGCAAAATACACAGATAAAAAATTAAAATAAAAAAGAGAAAGAGAGGGGAAAAAGCTTTTAATACACAATAAATAGCAATATTCACTGATAGTCATGACAATGATGTGTTCAATGTTAATTATTACCATAATCCCACACCTGCAACTTCAGACACACCATCAGAAAGCACAATTTTGATCAAATCCATGTTTTCATACTGAGCTTCAAGAAGGATAGGAAAATAACCATGTCAACAGGCACAATGTATGAAAAAGTCAACATGTAGCATTACCTGAGGCATGAGGTTCAAGTGCATGTCAACGGGAAAATTTTCAGCAGAACTTGACTCTGGGATCATTCGAGCAAGGGAGTGTTTGACATGACACCGACTACGAACTTCTTCTGACACTGCTACCAAAGCTTGTGACAGAAAATGTATATAATTAAGATTATGAATACAAGGGCTAGGTTGTATCATTCCAGAGACCTACGCAGTCAATAATACCTGCAAGATAAGCAACATTATCTGGCATAACCTCAAATTTATCACGTTTATGAGGTTTGGCTACAATGCCTAGAAGCATATTGAGCACACGAGCAGTTCTTGTCACAGTGGTGGGCGTGGGATGTCGAAATCCTTTTAACAAGTGGCCCACCAGGGCAAAATGAAAGTTTGCTGTAATAAAATCGTGCAATATGAACATAATGTACAAAAGTAACTGTGAAAGATAATAAGATAAGTATGATTCAAACAAATGAAAAATGTACCTTTAAAACTAAGTCCTACAGCATGATCCAACTGTTTAAAATGCCACTCCAAAGGCTCTCTTGTAGCCATTAATGCTTGTTCCAAAGACTGCAAATAAACTAAATGTATATATCTGGCATACACAAAACAAACATTTTGAACAATTTTTACCAGAATATTTGTTAGCATACCTTTTCTTCAAAACTCCCTTGGGAATCCAATGTATGTAAGTTTTGTTCTAGTAAAGCTAATCCAGAAGCATATAGAGATACTTCATCTAACTGCAGGACAGATATGGCAACCCAAAATAGAGCTTTGTGAATTGGCGATTCCTGCATAAAAGTTTAATTTAATACGTGTCAATTTGCTATCAAGCAAATGAAAAATTACAGTTCTATTAGTTACTCACGGGCCGCAGAAGAGGCTGGAGTCTTGTTAAACATACAACCAATGCTTCAAGAAGAACAATGTCATTAAAGCTTTCAAGAGCTTTAACCAAAATACGTAGAAGTTGTTTTATATCTTGATCTGTTATACTTTTACCTATTCAAATATTGAATTCATCAGTTCCTCTGAGCAGTACTAGATATTGAGATTTGAAATTATTTGATATTGAGCACATGATAAAAAAGGAAATACTGTTAAAACAAAAAGGCAGGATTGGTGAGAAATATATTGAACAAAAGAGGGGTAAAAAGAAGTCTTTCTCTTTGTTTTCTTCAGAGGAAGTGCATTGCTGAAGTTTATGTTTTTTTATTAAAATTTCCAATAATTAAAGTCAGAGTTTGGAGTCTATAAATTTTTGAGCAATGAAAGAATCATACAATTACTTTATTTTTCAAACTTCAGAACTAACAGCGAACTTTAAGCTATTGCATCCCTTGTTCCACGTCACTTAATGTTTGTGGTGATGCTGATTTTTTTGAAAACGGTTGAAAATGCTTGTTTCATTACTCAATTTTTTTTACTCTAAACACTGACTTTAAATATTTAAACAAATCATGGTTAAAATAATCACAGGCAAATCATTTTATTTTTATTTCAAAACACTTCAGCTGCAGGACACTTTCCAGATGCAAATTAAGATTCCGCACTTTCTTTTTCTACAACAAATCACAGAAATAAAAGTGCATATTCTGTATGCTAACTTTCTTTGCACAAAAAATCTTGCTTTTGATTACCAGAGGGAGCCTAATTTTCCAGAGATAAATTGGAGAGCTATATAAAATTAATAATTCTAATTTCTGTCTTAAGACAAGATAAACTGAGAGACATGAAAAAAAATATAAATATAAAAGCATATACTTCACATACATTTACAATTGTGAATTGTCATTTACAATTTTATTTGTTACTTACTAATGCAGCCAAAAACAATTAAAGCTCTGGGTTGGAGAGCTGGATTGTAGCAAAATGCAAAACTTTTTGCTAGTGCTGTCCAACTTTGTAACCAATCACATTCTGGAATATCACGCATGCAAGCCTAAAAAAGTATCAGAAGATCACAGTCAAATGCTACATTTATTTAATTAGAGAAGTATATTTCTACATAACAAAATCAAATATATACCTCCATAATTTCAAGAAGAGCATCAGTGATGACTTCAAGAGAAGTAAGAGATAACCTTTCTCTGTCTGCTGGGACTCCAGAAAAGCTACGTTCATTTCCAATCCTAACAAACGAACTTTTTATAAATGGAAACTTAATGTAGATTACTGATAATAGTTATTAAAACATTAGTAATTACTTACGATCTATCATTGGGGTGTCTATAGCTTGATCTGAAAGCAGTAACAGCAGCTGATTTTACTTTGCTGATACCAAACAAGAGATAAAATTTAGGAAGAGAAAATTCATCCAAGCTGAGACGGAGTACCCTTTGTGTTTCCTCTGGAACAAAAATAAAGTGTGTGACTCATGAGATATAATAAACAATTAGCTGGTCAGAACTAAAATAATATTGAAACAATATTATTTCTGAGTAAAAAATTCTTGTTTCCAAAAGGGACATGGCACTTATTTTTTGACACTTCAAAAATCATATTCTTAGCAATAATTTTTAACCAATATTTATGATGTGTCTATTCTGATTTCACCCACTGTCATTAACAATTAACTAAGTGGGAGAACAATGTTGAAACGGTAATTTGTTCTATTTAATTATCTATTATAAAATTTGAATCATAAACAAATTTGAGGATTAATATTCTTTTTCTTTTCTCTCCAGAGCAAAAAAGAAATTCTAGCCCAATGCACAATTCTATTCTAAAATTTCTAACTTAAGAATATTGCAACTAAATTCAAATTCAATGAATACAAGGTGTCTGAGTGTAAATAATGGTATCTGACATTTCATGTTTCAGAGGAAAATGCAATGTGATGCCACTGTTTTGGAGAAATGAGTTGCACATCGCATAACGTATAAGTGAAATAAGATTCCTATAACTCATCTATTCTTAATTCCACTTGAAATAGAGAGAACGGTACTCCTCCTCTTTTATACAAGTAAAGAACCTTATTTTTACCCAAAATGTCCATTATTTACATCTAAATACTTCAAATACAACCAATATTTACATCAGACAAGTTCAAAGCTTTACCTGTGAATGTTGGCTTTGTGCAAGTGCATAACGAGTGAATGATGTTGATGACAAGACCATGTGTGGAAGCTCGCATGCTCAATGAACCAGAGCATACTAAAAAAGTGACAGCATGAAATAAGTATGGCAAGTGACGCGCCACATCCAAGCAGTTGTTGAAAGATAACATAAGAAGATATCGAGCAAGGATAGCTATATCATCCCACATCATATGCTGCTCGAGGTAAGGAGTAGGTGATGTGCATGTCTTGTCCACCACCTGTTCAACAAATAAGTTTACCATTGTTACAACACACTGGAAGCTGCAACTCTAATACAGAAAACTGAAACAGGAGAGACAGATTGCAAGGAAAATGAAAATAACCTTTAATAAATTTTAAGGTCGCCACATCAAAACAACTATCTTTTTTATTCTATATGAATAATGACATAAGTCAGTATTTGGTTCAAACTGTTTTTACATGATCACTTGATTAAAAACTTCTTTAGAATTCCTGAGTGAAATACAAAGTAAAAATCAAAATCATTTTTTTAAAGTTAACATTATAATTATAATTGAATAGTTGTTGAGTACTCTGTGATTTTAGAAAAATACATAATACATACCCGACAGAGCCTGCCAATAACTTTTTTGGCAACCAACTGAACATTAGCAGATGCAAGGGCAACAGCTGTGTCAGCCATAATTTCAACCGTAGGTGATCCCAATCCACTTGTAACAGATCGATGAATAAAGCTATCTAATACCATATCAATTAATTCTGGTACCTACAACACAGCATTTGTTACTAATTATCTTTATAAAGGGTAGGGAGAAAATTAGAAGAGAAAATAACTTTTTTCCATTCATTTTAATAAAATTATGAAACATGAAATTTCCAAAATTTAAATTTCAATCTTGTATATCTTTCATTTTATTTATTTATAATTAAAAAAATTAGATACTTATTATAATTACAATGAATAAAATATCAATTTATTTGCTAAAATAACTTTGAAAAATGTAGAACTACAATATATTCCTTTTTGGATGCAAAATGATGACAAACCTGACCAATTGAGCCCCATATTTTGGCCTGAATGGAAGGATACATTTCTACCTCTTCAATAGTAAGTTCAATAAGTTTCTCTAATATTTGGGCTACTTTTTGTTGCCTCTTGTTTTCATCAGAAGGTTTACAAAACCTACAACAGCCAAAAAAGATTAAATGTATGTGTCTTAACACATATTATTTGTAATTAAATAATAACTGCTTATAGCATACCTGACGAGGTTTGCAAGCCAAGGAGTCATGTACTCAAGGCATAAATGTTTCAGTTCAATATTAGAAACACGAAAACCTTGAATACATTCTTCCAAAAATTCCAGGGTCAAATGTGGTTCATTTGTTGCTAATTTCTCACTAACAGACTTAATAAATATTGTGTTGTTGGAAGGAATGCAGAGACCTGTGGAAAAGATCTAGGTTAAAAGAGAGCTGAAAGCACTATTTATAACACTTATTCATGGCATTACCTACCAGATGTCTCCAAAAGTTGGCCTTCAATTTTAAGGTCAAATGTAGCAGTAAGAGCACATAATTGATTGTAAGCTGCAGTTCTCAAATTGGGATCAGAGGAACCCAAATTCAACAGAGCCATGTTGAGCAATGTTCCAGGCACATCTTTTGGTCGGATTTTTTGATGAACTGTAACTGAATCCTGAAAGCATGACATGTAATGTTAAGGTGGAATATTGTAACACAAAAAACAAATGGAATTTGTGTCTTTTTGGCATGTAAGTATAACTAACAATTAATTAATCACTGATTACATAAAAGCAACTCTTAAATATCTTTTGAGGGTTATGTCAATAAAATTAATATATACTCAGAAGTTTAGATATTTTTCACAAATACTTGAGTATTTATTGATAAAATAAATAAATCTATTCAATCAGAATATATTAAATTCAAATGTCTTTCTTCTTGTGCAACATGTAACAATGTGAAGTGAAATGCTGCATGTGTGTGTGCACATCTCACTGCGTATGCGATAGTGAAAACTCGATTGACAGCAATACATCTACGTAACTCTCAATGGTCAATGCTACTGGCTAAACCATTCAAACTATTTTCTCCTAAACTGATATTTCCAGGTCGATTTAAATGAACTCGATGCACTGCAAGTTTGAAACAGATATTTTGATTTTGGAGGGTACTTTACATAAAGCCTCTATTGAATTTTCAAACTTTTCTCAAAAATGGCACCAAATTTTGTTATTAAACTTTGTTCTGAGATAGCATAAAGAATACATAAAAGAATAGCACAGGTCTCATTCTTGTTGAAATCTCAAATTTTTCAAAAATTGCTAAACTTCAAATTTTTTTTAGTTTCTTCCTAAAACCATAATATTGAAGATACAGATTTTACCTTTAATAAAATTTATTCTACAAAGACATTTTGAATAAACATCATGTATAATTTTTCAAAATAAGAGTTGTTTTCACATAATTTGGGGTGAACTATTAAAACTGAAATTTAAATATTATAATTTTAATGTTTTTATAGAATTATTCTCTCAATGACAGCATTCAATTTTCCTTTAAAGTTTTTCCTCATGTATAGCAAAGAACAGTAAGAAAGTACGAGTCCTATTTCCAGCAAATTCTAGTGTATTTTCAAAAATTGCAAAAAGTTAACATTGCAAAACTCCAAATTTGAAGACAGAGACTTTTGTCTTAAATGAAATCTGTCCATAAAAACAGATTAAAAAAAGGATGATGAACATTTGTTTAAAAAAGATCATGTAACATTTTCTCAAAAACACCCTATATATATATTTTTTCTTTTTTTAAGAAGTTATGCACTGTAGCACCACTAGTTTCTATGAAAACCCCTGAATGAATACTAATGAAGCTTAAACACACACAGAATAATGTAGTCTTTTTCATGCCCAAGCGCCCACTGAAGGCAGGAAACTTAACATTGTAAGTTGCATTGATTATTTTCTTTACTGCTGTATTTAACAGGTATTCTATATCTTGGATGGTTATGTAAGTGTTAAATGTAATCTAAGTATAATTTTTTTTTAAAGGAACAACATTCTTCAACACTTACAGGCTGTGATAGCTCCCATCGATTTCGTATGTGAATTATTGCCTGTACAATGCTATCACAGTCATTATGTATGAAAGAAAGAGGTCCAGCTTCATTTGCAATAGTGAGAGTAAACTGGTTATCATCCACTAGACAAACTTCTTCAATCTCTGATGCATAATAAACATCATTGAGAAGTACAGAATGTGCCAGAACTTTCGTCTTCTCTGATGATGTTATTTGTATTGCAGTTGGTCCCACCTGAAAAATTTGGCAACCATGCATAAAATGCTTCTACAATATTTAAATGCAAGAAGATTTTCCAGAAATGTTATTACCTTAATTGCCACTTTGGTGTCCTTGTGAGAAAGTTTCAAAGCATTATTAAATACTTTCAAGTCTTCATCAAGAGAAAGTGTAGCACCAGGAAGTTTCTGCTGGTCTGCTTCAATGAAGTCATTGAGTCTTGCAGGAGCTTCAATAAAAATTAGTTTTCGATTGCTCTGTACAAAGAGAAAATTAATTATGTCTGTTGATTTAATCTCACAACGATTCAATCTTTCAAAATTCTTACCTTCAATGGAGACAATATGCGATCGTGGAATTTGGTGTATTCACGAACCCAGCTATTGCAGTTGTAAATATACGCTGCATGAATATTCTCATATGCTACCTCAGGGAGAACATAAAACCACTTTTGAAGAAATTCAGTTCTGTGTAATGAAAATAAAAATCAAATAAGAAAGTAAGTTTACCAAATTAAGTGCAGCATTTGTAAAGTAAGTGGTTAAAACTGAAAATATACATGATTTTTTAAAGTTAGGTAATAGTTCTTAGCAAACTTAATTTTAACACAGATCAAAGAGTTAATTCTTTTTTCAAGTACATTATATGTTAATTAAAAAAACAATCAACAATACAATTCATCAGTTTTCTTCTTTTGTAAATTTTATCTCACAAAGAATGCAATTGTAGTTTTTTTGAAAACAATTGTAAATTACATCATGTGGTGAACTGTAAAGAGAAGTTCACACTATAACTACTCATATAATGCTGTCTTTATTTACTTTGTAGTGTACTAATTTAGAATTATAATGACATAATATTAATTATCATAAATTTTATTAGATAAAGAGGCAATAAGAAACTCAATATTCAGTGTGGACTTTTTAAAAATCTTCTGGCAGAATTACCATTTATCTGTTTCACTAATTTTATATTTATTTTATTAACATACTTAGAACAGAACCTCAATTCACTTGGAAAAAAAATTATCTTACCTAAATCGGTTGTCAGAGCATGTGTGAGTAAAATCCACTACTAATTCAAAAGGTGAGTGACAGAAAGGTTTGAGAGTTAAAATAACATGATATATTAATAAATCTCCATTTGTTTCACCAATCCTGAAATTAAAAAGTTTCACAATTGTTTTACCTTCATTGGATTATACAGCTACCCTTCAGAAATTAAAAAACAAAAAGTCCACTTACTTATAACGGCGTGCAATATAATAGAAAACTGGAAACCCAGCCTTGGATGTACCAGCTTGGTAAAAAATATTGAGTGATTTGATTGATTTAAATTCTTCCTTTTCATGCATATTGTGTTTGACCATAATCTCTTCAAAATTTGTACTAGACATATCAATGGAGCTCCACCTGGCATAAGAGGAGAACAGCAAACTGCATGGCAGTTAAAAACGCTCATCTTCAAGGAGACTGGGAAGACAATAACATGCAGTGATTTATAGTAATGCATAGAATGTCTGAAAAGCTTACAAGAGTGGACTTCTATTTGATGTGTACTAACATTCTGTGTATAAGCAATTTTAAAGCGATGTACATAACTAAATGTCAGCTTACTCAACAAATACCCTACACTTTCTGCAAAGCATGTTTACTACACAAATACAACCAGAGGAAATAAAACATTCAAACAACTTCAAGTAGTCTCTTTACAGCTATTTACCATATTTACCTAAATATAACACCACACTGAAAGTAAGGTGACCCATTATTTTCAAGAAGCCTATTTTTAATAAATTGCGTCCGGTGTCGGTTTTAATTAAATGGCCGGTGTCACTAGACAAATTCCTTAACTGCCCTCCGTGAAGACACAGAAGTTAAGCAATTCGAGGCTTTGCAGGTTCCTGGGATCAGTTCAGGATCTGGGAATCCTTGGATCTAATGGCACTGAGCCCCTGGCCGAAGAGTTTTTAAGGCAACGAGTGATAATGACTATTTTCAAGGAGAATTACTCCATTACTCCATGAACTCAACGTCTCAAAAGGTGGATTAGAGATGTTTTGGAAGGGCGCAACATTTTTCCTTTTTGTGAAATTCTATTAAGACAGTCACAATAAAATTGCAAATTGTCTTAATGACAAGGTCATAAATAGTCTTATTAATTAAAATGTTACATCTTTTTGCCTATGCTATAAATCGTCACCATCATCATCACCATCTTTACTTGTATCTTCCCCTGCCACTAGGGTATCTGCTAATGTTTTAGGTTCCCTTGAAAGTTTTACAAATTGAATTTGCATTTACTGCCTATCTTCAGATGCCACCTGAGAACATTCCCTTCTCTCGCTCCAAACGTTCTTCCTGCCATTTTGTGCTTTTGTTCAAGGCTTCCACTTTTTTAACAACCATGAACATGAGATAAATTTGTTTACTCTCTGTGATCCAGTTATGAATTGTGCACTCGCAAATTCCAATATCTCAAAATCTTCCTCATGAGATCAATTAATTCTTCTTCAGTTATGTAGATTATGGACAAATATGCAGTTTATTTTCACCATAGCAACTTTGAAGATTTAACAACATTGAAGTTTCACAACTGGGAAATACAATGTAAACAAATTGATCCCAACTAATTAGGATTAAACTGTGAATATCAGACAAACCCTTAGTTTTCTAATGAGCCACTTACAAAACTAGTGGAAATGTGTGGCATACCAAAAGTTTTCCTCCTCTTTGTGCCCACCTAATGTCACTCAACAATTACTCAGATTTTTTTAAAAATGCATGACATCATTTAAAGATCTAAAATTGAATTTAAATTATGCAGAAAACATCCAAGCCACAAGAATCAATATGATTGAAAAATGGCTTGGATAATTGGGACATATGTTAAAATTCAAGCAGTGAGGATCCACACCAAAAATTAGATATGTGTAGGATGTAGGAAAGTTAGAAAAGTTAGAAGAGTTCCACATATTCACTTTATGAAAATAGAAAACCAAAAAAACATTGTTTCACGTCATAAGTCATTGAAAACTAATGAAATAAGGGAGGTTTACAATCTGGAACATTACAATCACTATTCATAGTGATCCATGTTCACGTCAACATGTTTCTAAAAATGTAATGGAATTTATTTTTCATTTGCTATCATCTATACTTGTATGCTCTACAGGAGTGATCACCAAACTGATGATTGCGATCTCCAGGGCAATTTTTGGTAGATGGCCGTCATGCTCATGGTTGACTAAACTGAGCTTTTTCTACAGAGCACAAATAGGTTCAGAAATAGACTTACTGATGAACATTTGGAGAAATGTATTTGAATGGCAGTCACAACCTACTCTCCCAACATAAAAAAACATTAATGACAAAAAAGAGCCCCATCCTTGTCATTAACAAAACTGATGAAAAATATGCTAGTAACAAGTTATGAGTATTTAGGAACAATAATTTCGGAAGATGGAAAATATGAGTAAGAACTGAATAATAGAGTGAAGGAAGAAAACTCGGTGTATTATCAAAGAAATAAAAACGTACTAAGAATGAATGTATGCACCAAAACAAAACTCCCAATTTATAAGTCCGTATGTATACCAACATTTATATTTGGAACTTATAGTATGCCACATAATATGAAAACAAAAAATAGAATCACAGCAGTGGAAAAGAAATTCCTACACAGGATAGTGGGGGATCAAGAACACAAGAAGAGATCGGATATAAAATAATACAATTAGAGAGGAATTAACAACTACACTACATGGCTAACACAACGCTGAGAGGCATCAGGGACAGAAGAAGCAGATAAAAAATATATTCTACATTTATAACTTGTTGCTATTTTTTTTATGTGCAATTCCATTTTAACGTATTTTTCTTGTATACAGTTTTATTAAATTTGTTTTATATTGAATTGTACTTTATAGACAATAAACAAATGTTAAGATTTGGAAAAAAAAGGAGAAGAAAAAATTCTGTCTTGGTAGTTCACAGTAGGGTTGAAAATGAAATGGCTGCAAGTTTGACGATCACTGCTTTAGAGAAACATGACAAAAAATCCTACTAACCACCTTACCTAAAAAACAGAATACACCACATAATATGGCCTATTATGGCATAATATGGCATAATAGGCATAATATATAATAATAATAATAGCCAATACTTGTTTTGTTGTTGTTGAAAGACATGTGTCAGACAATTGGACATTGCATCACCGTATCCTCACAGATCTTTGTATTTAAAAACACTCTTCAAACTTAAAAGAACTGTTTGTAGCTTCTCTAACAGCCACATTACACTCATATGTTTTCTTGAAGAGGAAATGCCAAATACTTTCAATAGATTGATTATGCATGATGAAATAATGAACAAATGACTGCAAATAAGTGTTTCTTTGTCTTCTTAAATTCTATTAATTTTATTAAAATTTAGTGATTGTACTATAAAATCAGTTAATATTAGTATCAGTAAACATATGGAGCCCAATATCTTTCATTTAATGAAAAAATCATGAAATTTGTTAGAGTGGAATGCTCAAATTTCTTTCTGTACAAAAACCCTTAGTATTAAAATAAAATTAAAAGCAATTTTCTACTTGTGTAATTTTCTACATCAAAATTGAAACTAAACCATACTTAGCCACTACATAGCCATTTTTGAGAAAAAGGATTATGGGCTTCATGAACAGATACCTTAAAAATCAAAATATTTTAATGATCTCTGGACAGCACAACTACATCTTACTCCTAATGTTTTTTTCCAAGTTTCAGCTCAAAAGCTTCTAATTTGATAGAGTTATGCATGACACTTCCATCTATTTAGTATATAAATCGATTTTCAGGAACAAAACGGCATGTGTCTCCACTCCACCTGCATCAATTTTAATCATCTAATGATGATGAGGAGCACTTATAGACATTAATTCTGATGTATGTCAGATGCAACTGAAAAGTTACAGCTGAAAAGAACCTTAAATACAGATTTTACAACCAATAATCGAGATCATATTGTTGAGGTGATTCCAATTTGTCTTATATTTAGGTAAATATGGTAACTACAAAGCATTATGAAAATATTCTGATGAAAGCTCTAAGTTCTGTTCTGAAAAATGATAATTCTCAATAGAAAAAAAGGGGCAGTGTGATAAATATTTAGTCATTTCAGGACAGATTACTTTTTCAGTTTAGATAAATAAGTGTGTAGCAAAACAAAAAGACATAAATCAAAAGAAAGAATAATAAATAATTCGCACAATAACCTGAAAAAAATTAAGACAATAGCCAGCTAAACTGAAGCATACTTTACTCATTAAAATTATGATAGTGTGATTCAAAAGAATATTAAAGCATCAAAAACTCAGGAAATGTACCTATTATGACATATTAAAGATTCCCCAAAGTGTGCAAATTCATTTAGTGCCAAGATTCCAGACTTACTGTGAATCAACTGGTTTATGTTCCGGTGGTCCCAAATAAGCAAGTAAGGTAGCCATTTTATCAAAAGGGCGACGCCCAACTGCTTTGTGATCTCTACTGCTAGATAAATAATCTCCTATTCGTTCCTGATGATTCCACAATAGGCGATGGAGAGCCAATACATTAGCATCACTGATGAAGGACATAGAGTGTGAAGCTTGATCCACAGTTTCACAATCAGATGCTATTTGAATAAAAAACCTACAAACACACACACACACAAAAAAGTATTAAAATTTCCCCTCTATTTCATCATAAGGGTTTTAAGTAACTCTGTTCAAAAGTTCTCAACATTTAACAACAAGCACATATGTGGAGCATTTAGTACACCATACACAGAAATCTTATTAAAATAATATTATTAGAACTGATTTCATTATAATATTTCAAACATTTTTGAATAGAAACACAAACTCATGGCAAATACAATATCTCTAATATCAATCATCAGTGATAACACCTATTTTGATCTTAGCCTCTAGAACACAAACTTCTAATTAATAACAAAAATATCAGGTGATCTTCTTGGAATGTGTTTTAAGAACTGAGTAGACTGAGTATTAGAGCTATACAAAATTAAAATTCACATGTAAAAACAAAAATAGCCAAAAGATCAAGTAAATTAGATTCCTGTCCTCTACTCCTTAAGAAAATTGGGTACATGTCAAACACAAATCAAGGACAAAAATCTGCCACATCTTACCTTCGACCTATTTCAAAATGAGCACGAAGGAAGTCATTAAATGGAAGCATATGCTGCTCCTTCCCAAATTCCACATGATTGGCAATATTCTGTAAAATTTTAGACATCAACATTAATCCTCGTTTTACAGATGGGGGAACCTGTTTTGCCACTATTCCCATCTCTTGAGGAGATACTGAAACAAAAATCAATATTGTGTTACATATCACATCTCTTGTCCTTTTACACATGCAAGATACATCCTACAGTCAAATACTTCAAAAGTGAAAGAAATGAAAAAGATAGAAAAAAGGTGAAAAAGGAAAAGAGAAAAGAATAATTTAAAATTTATCGTCACCTCAAAACTATTAATGTAGAATGCAGGAATTTATAAAGGAAATTGTAAAGTATTTTAGAATGGTACTAGGAAATGTTCATTATTTCATAATTTCTTTTGATTTAAGTGTATGCAAATATGGAAATCATTTTGAGAACGTCCCTTTGATTCATGAATATACAGTACATCCTTATTTTTAGCAGACAATGATTCGATACAAAGTGCCTTATATTTGAAAATGAACAATATTTATTTTTTAACATAAAATTATTTCACAACAGAGAAAACAGCAGCACATACTCTCTTAATTCATCATACATATAAGAGTATCACTTACCGATAGCAGGGTTAATAAAACGGAGAAATATAACAGTCCCAACAGCTCCTATATTATTCTGAGGAATTTGAGGAAATCGTTTACTTAACACCTGATACAGGCAATGACACATACTCCGCAACTGAGGGGGAAATCTGTTGACAATGTTCAAAAGAGAAAACTGTGAGTTTTTTTCACCTCTCTAGAAATACAAAATTTGCTCTCTTTATTTAATTTATGAACTATGTAAAAATGTACATGATTTTTCATGCATATGAATGGAACACTGATCCTTTGATTTGATATCCACAAGATTTGGGGATAATGGCTTTAACCTTCATTATGATTGTCATTGACTATTGTTGGCTGACTGATTAATTATTGCAGACCACAAAAATTAATGTGACAAGCTACAGTAGAGCACAGTTTACGAACCCCTAGAGTGATAGTCTTGGAATACCCAAGTATTTACTGCCAGAATATTCAGTGCTGATTCACTACTGCAGCAAATGATAAAAGTCAATGGATAAGAATAATCTCGCTTTCTATGTGTAGAATCAGTGCCATCAACAGTTTTTTTTTTCAATTGCTGATCTGTATGGATACCTCAAAATAAATTTCACCAACTTCTAGGGCATGCGGAGGGTTTGAATCTGACACAAAGTATTTAACTCCGTAACCTGAAACCTTCCCAGGACATATTCACTGTCAAAAATGGATTATTTTCCATCCCTCTACATGGCCTAAAAGTTTGTAAAATTTATTCTGAAATACTCTGTAGTTATTTTATACTGATGTTATTATCTGAATTCACGAGGGAAAAAAAAACAACTCACTTTTCAGCTGAAGAAATAATGGCATCAAATACTTTCTGAGTAAGAGCTACAAGATTTCTACGATTTTCTTCTATATCCTCAGTTGTATCCAATCTGAAACATTACATGAGGAACCCATCTTCTTAGTTTTGTATAAAAAATTTGTGAATTGGAATATTTTATGTAAGTTGTTTATTTACCGTGCAGGATCTACTTCAAAACTCATTGTTGTTTCATCTAATAATGGTTTTATAAGCGGCTCCAACAAACTTTGAAGGTAACTAGCTCCATAAATTTTGAAACAAAATGCCATTATTTTACTACCTAATGAATTTCCTCTAAAAAGGGTTTGCATACAATCTGACACCTCAACTTCTCTGTAAAACATATTCCATAGAAGAGGAGATAATAGATGTTTCGCATCAAACAATGTCACAAATACTCGGGCAAGTTCATCCTGAAAAATCAATGCCAATTGTAATTCACTTGAAAAACAATGTTTAATGATAATTGAAGTAGAAAATATTTAGTGACAGTAATGCAAGCAAATATGATCATATTATTACACTGAATGATATAATCTATCTTACCATCTGTGAAGTGGTGACAACATTAGCAAGAGCCATTGCAATAGGAAGCTCTCCTTTGTCACTGATCATTGTCACAAGCTGCACCAACTGCTCAAAGCGATCAGCTAAAACCGTCTCTGCCAAAGTGTCAAACTCTGTTCCTTGCTGAAGAATTTTTGTCAATACTTCCATAAAAGCTGCTCTTGTTTGTAGATCTCTATTATAACCCAAATCTAAAAACACATTAAAATGAACAATAAAAAACCTATCATATTGAATGCTGTTTCTAGTGAACAAGATCTACCCATGCCTTGGGTGAGTGTGGTGAAATGTATTTTGGAAAATTGATCTAAAAGAAGACCATAACACTCCTTAAGCTGAAATGCTTTAATAAATAAGCATTGCTTTTCTTAAAATATATATAAATATATATAAAAAGAAATTTTAAAAATTCACATACCAATGGAATGCATGAGTCCACTATCAATATTGGCTGATAAAAGATTTGACATTGCTTGAATTGTAGCATTTCGTAATGTGTTCAATTTTCCTGCTTGCATTCGTGTTCGTGGTACTTCTTTCTCAACATCTGGGACATCTGTGCAGTCATTGAGAAGGTTCATAAAGAGGGTAAAATACCTAAAACATAAAAAATTAAAATCACTTAACTTCTATACCTGAATCAAGTCTGTGTTATTTTTACAATATTTATAACTTTCAAATAACTTTTACAAAATAAAGTCAATTTGTATAAATGAAATATTCATACTTAAGGAAAAGTTGACTCTTAGCTTCCATGAGATCTCCACGATCTGATTCCTCTGGCTGCAAAGGTAATCCTCGGAGTAATGCTGCCACAGCCTCCATACAGGCTTGATCCAAATCACGTGTTATCATTGTAACATCCCCAGAACTGGGAGGAGCTATTTGATGAGAGGTGCCCATTACCCAATCGGTCAAATACTCAACCAATTTGTTGCGAAATTTCATTTCCTGCCGAAATGCTAAATCATCTCTTCTTTTCATCATGGCTTCCACTAATTGACAGAGTTTTGTCTTAATGTGAATAGCATGTACAGTCATGTCCAAATGCCGCACATACCTGTAAATGAATTGTTCACAGTTATAAGACAGACAAAACAATATTTATAACATTAAGCATTATAAATAACATAACAAATCACCTGACAATGGCAAGCATCATGCCTTCAATACTGGTTACCCCAAGATGTTCAGATGGTTGATCTGTTTTACTATCTAAAACATTTTTCATTATGAATATTATATGTTCAATAAATTGAGTATTTATATCAGAGACCATAACCTACAAAAGAAATAAATCACATAATTGTTTGTTTGTTTTTCAATTGCATAAAAAAACTTTAATTTGGATCAAATAATAATTACCTGCCCCTGCTGATCAAAAAACTTCTCAACGATAGCTTTAATTTGATCAAAGAGGATGGGATAGAGGGCGGGTGACATTTCATGTCCCACCAACTCCTTCACGTGCCTCTGGATAGCTGCGCCAAATTTCTCATTGTTGCACACTAAAAGACGCAATAGCTGACCAACAAACCTGTGAAGTTAACATTCTGACTAAGTAACTGAATTTTTTCATATTCAATTCCTCTGAAATACGCAACAAGAACATGCACTTACTGGGTAACAGGGCAATACTGAACATCCTGACTAGAACTTGCAAGAGCATTACTTTTTCTAGGTTCAACACTGGGTAAAGGAGGTAACCCAAGAGATAACGTGGGCCTTGAGGGTGATTTACGTTGCAACAAAACACCTCCTAGGGCACATAAGAAGCCTGTCATATTAGCCCATTCGTTTATCTGATCCTAGGAAAGAACACAGAAATTCACTAGCTTTAAAATTCAAATAAAATGTGTAGAAAATATTACAAATTATTTTACAGACGTAAATACTCTGAGAATTAGGGAAGCAATTTAAATACTCTAAACAAAGGAAAAGCTTGTGTTCATTTACCTCCAGTTCATGTTCTGAATTTTGATGAGATGCTCTTCTTTTACCCATGGAACGGTGAAAAGGTTCAATCTGACCATCTTCCAATTTTGCTTTTGGGTATGATGTAAGCATCTTTGTAGATGCTTCCCAATTTCGAAACGTTTCTTCCCATGCCTAGATTAAAAACATTAAAATTATTAAAGGTTCCTGAAATATTCTCTATCAACAGCAATGGAAAAATTTGAGAGTAAAACATACCGGCTGAACACCATTCACACAGTGTTCAATTTTCCTCAATAAAGCCATAATTCGTTTTTGTAAAGCTGCTCGACCTAAGACATATAATACAGTTGTTTATCATTAATACATTCACCAAACTATTCGTAATAAATCAAACTTTTTTTTTTAACTGTGTGAACATTTATCTTTTCACTAATACATAAAGAAATATATGTTGCATTTAATTGAAACATTTTCTTGTGAGACGATCCAATTTTGTGCATATGAAATCAATTTTCACCAAATTAATAACTAAAAACAAAATTTTAAGTAAAGGTTACAACTATCTTACCCTCATTTTGTTCACGATAATGAACACGGGTTTCCCCGCTGGCTGTTAAAAGATATGAATCCAAGTAAATAAACAATTAAGTATGACAAAGCTACTAAGAATGGGAGCAGTGAAACACCTAGTACCTCCAACACTTCAAGTTTTCTTGCGTTATAATCCTGTGAGATATATTTGATACAAAAACAAATCAATGATTCTAAGGCATCCTCATTGTACACATGATTATCTGTATTATTAATTTCCAATGCATGCAAAAACAAAGAAAACTATGCAGCTCCCTTTGCTGTGAATGTGTTTATAGTTTTGTTAAAACAAGCAGAAAATCGAGGTTATCGGTAATATTAAATTATCTGTAATATCTGTAATACTAAATTTCAAACGCACACAGATATCAAAAGAATACTCTGCAGCTTCCGAACACATGAGAGGTATATATGGTTTAGTTAGATACACAGAAGAAAAAAGAAAGATTCAAAACAATGAAACAATGAAATTTTGCCTAGGATGTGTAAATATTTGATTGTGTTAATCTGCATATTCTCAAATTTAGCAAGCCAACAGAATTCCTACTTTCAGATGCGTTGCGATAGTATTTTATTTGTTGTTCTTAAGCAGTGTGCATGCTACTTTTTTTAAACTACTGTGTGTGGTTTTGTTCAACAGCATTTCTGCTGATCAAAAGATCACTAGTTTTAGAATATTGTCTAAACTTTATAAATACTGCAATGTATACTCTGCCCATGCTTCTTAACCCTGCAGCATATACGCTAGTAATAGTTATTCAGGTACATGCAGTGATCTCTCAGGTACATCATTTCAATTCTAGCTTATCTTGGTTCACAAACTGACTGTTGGGTGTTTCAGGCACAAACTCACATTAAACATATTTACTAACATCGAAAATATAAAACTTTATTGAACTATAATGTTTATCAATAATAAGATATAGATTAAAAAGTTGTATCAGTTGTAAATTGCACTACTCATACCGGCCTGTGGTATGATGTGCAGCACGCGATTTGGCTGAGATTATTCTCATGTCATTATTAAGCTTATTGGGAGGAACTGGAAGTTATGAAATCTGAGAACAGTGATCTCAAAAATTTCTATGTTGAACAAAAGAAGAACTCAAGACATCAGAGAGATCAACCGTGTGTGCCACAGGGTTAAATCTCCCTCTTCTTCAACTACCAATCTGACCTAAATTACAACTAAATTTCATGAACTTCAAGACTCATTGATGAATTCTGTTACACTTTATGAATAAATATATTTCTTAACTTTTATAAAAATCGTTGTTTTTAATTGAATTTTATGGTAAAAGTAAGTTTTTTTAAGCATTTTTAAGCAAAAGTAAGTTTTAAAAGTAAATTTATCAAGCATATTCAAAACATAAGTTCAATCAATAAAATATATCCCATGGAAACAACACATATAGGGTTTTCCTTAAACACCCATTTTTTTCATCTTTTTTTTTTTTAAGAAAAAAACAAAGTAAAAGTCTGTACAGTTAAATATTTAATATACTCTTCAATGAACATAGCTACACTTCAATACATTGTTATCATTATCAGAGAAAGGAAAAAAAAAGAGAGAAAAAAAAATAGTTTAGTAATAATAGAATAAATAAAATGAACATAGCGTTAAATTAAAACAAATAAATTCAAAGGTGCCACGCTGTTAAGCAATGGGTTATATAGTGTGTTGAAGTGCATTGAAATGCGAGGTACTGCAGTACAATGTAGAGGAGTGCAGTGTAGATTAATACATTTTATTCCATCATCATTATTATCATTAGTACAGACTCCTTCCATAAGTTCTTGGTTAACTTCTACAATTATATAAGCTTAAATTTGTACACTGTAATAATGATATTGAAGATGTCATGTAAGGAAAAACTTGCCCAATTTTTTTCTAATTACTCAAAGTTTTCATGATGTAAGAATAGATGGTAATACTATCGGGGATCATGAGTCAATTTAAGGAGTATGATGATGGATATTTCTCCCTCACAGGACATATTGCATGAAAACGTGAACTTGTAGTAAGCACCATATTATGCTCTGCTCTTCCTTTTAGACATATTATTTTCAAAGTATACAGTAGCATGAATGAATAAATAAACAAGCATCTGCAAATTTTAGAAAATTTCATTTTCCAAATAAATTTAAATTCATTTCATTAAAGAAAATATAGTACATCATATGACACACATTTTCAAATATTGTTCTACTAAATGTTCAAAAATATAATTCAGAAATTATTTCTGATATAATACAATTCATAATACATTTTGATTTCTATTTAACAATTTACCTTTAGAATACAAAAGATTATCACATTCTACATTTCACTATCAATATTCTGATATATATTCTCATTAATATAAAATCAAAAATATTTTTCAAGTGGATTAAAAAACACAAACATTAGCTTTTAAATTTTAGGAGCATGATTTTTAGGATCTCAGAGCTAGCCTACCAGTGGTAAGAATAGTAGATGCCTGAGCCAAATCTTGATATAAGTGGTAATTTGGCAAAAGATATGTGACAGTTACTTCATCCGAGCCACATCGAATATCAGCTTCTTCACATAAAAGGCTGAAGCACGACATTGCAACAAGTACAGCTTCAATGTCAATACTCCATAGGTACATAAAGAAAACCACCTACCAAGAAATCAAAGAAACAAAATCATTAATAGTTCATGTGCACTCAATCAAAAATACATTACAATACACACCTCCAATTTTATGTGAGCCTGCTTGCAAATAGCGATCTGGCTACCAACATTCGCATAATCTTTGTGTCGGAGCAGAAAAGCATTTCTGCACACCAAAATTTCTCTAAGCCACTTCAAAATATCAGTGTAGTTGACAATCTGGTGCTGAATTAATTTCTGTGATATTGAAAACAATACTTGGGAACTGCAAAAAAAGGTAAATTTGCATTGAAGTTAATCAACAACTTGTCACTACTACACTACACAATTCTTTTACTTATTTATTTACAAAAGATAGTACAACAGGTTTCCCCAATTACAGGTCTATAAAAAACAACGAGTCATATAAGCAAAACTTTAACGGAGTTAACCCACTAATAAATATTGGTAATTACTAAGCTGCAGATTTAAAGCCACAAAAAACTGTTGCAATAGGCAGGCAAAATAGGCATTTAAATTGGCACTATACATTTTTCTTATCTTTATTTATGTATGTTCTTGTTTAGCAAGTTTCTGAAGGTAACATAATATCGTTACATTCATAGAATGTTGGCTTTCATCACTACTCTGACAAATCCTCGTAGAAATTCTTTCTATCGTTGTCAGAGAAATTCGGACAAAAAAAGGCTGAATTGCAGTAGCTATATTTTAGCTTTTCATTAAATGCAAGCTGATACTTAAATGCTGCACATGATATTTTTTATCATCTTTAAGTTAAACATAATTGAAAACATTGTTTGATTTTTTTTAATCGCCATGCATAACACAAATGTAACTAAGGGATCTACAACAGCAAAAACTTTCTCATATTATTTCTTAAAAATTAAAAAATAAAATAAAATATCAACATTTGCAATTTCCAAAATTTCAGACTGCTTAATGAAAATGAAACCTGCATTGACCTTTTAAGTGTTCTTTGTTCTATTCGTAGAAAAGAAATGAAGAAAATTGTAGTGGTTTTTGTGAATTATTTTTGTAATTTTGGCAGAAATTATGCAAAACAAACACCCTTTAAATAATTATAAATCATCTTCTTTAAATCTGATTTCTTAGAATACATTTCGTTTAAAATAAAAATCACCATATTCAATATTGTACTTTTTTTGTGAAGTTAACTTTTTGCAAATTTCAAAAATATCTTGAGTTTGCAAAAAAATGGGACTGGCACCAATTTTTATACCGCCCTTTGATATGAGAAAATTTTAAGAACAATTTTTCGATCTTTTAGAATAAAAATTGTTTAAAAATTCCAATAAAAAATAACTCCACCACCAACAATGATTTTGCACATATTTCATAAGATGAAATACCTGCACCATTGTGGCAGTAAAACAGATCATACATTTATTGATAGATGTTTGATTTTTCTGTATTCTGCAGGATAAAAATTAAAAAACTTACAATTTTTAAAATTTTTGGTTAAGGATCAATAAATACGAGAACAGGGAACATTGAGGCATTTATAGGCACTATAAAATTTGCCTATAATGCTCCCAATACCTCAAAATGAATAAGTAACACAAAAGATTGCATTTTTCATTGAAGGAGAAAAATAGGCAAAAATCTGCAGCTTAGTAATTTACTAATAATTTAATAAAAATAATTGAAAATTGTGGATGCTAAAAATATTACTCAAATGCAATATATAATAGTTACATCTTTATATTGTCATCGCAAAATTGTAACTTTGTAAACTGCTCTTCAACCTAAAAAATTAATTACCTGACATCCCAGAAGGTATTGATGGGAGCCTCTGGATTCCATACTTCTATCTTTTCAGGATGATGAAGGACTAGTAAAGCTTCCATTGCTTCTTGAGCAACATCAGGCATCGTTGGTTGGTGAACCAAACTTACAAGCCCGTTGATCAACTCAAGGGTTGAACTCTGGATCTCATGGCCAGCTTTACCCTGGTTCTACAACATTCGAACTGCTATGCATCGCTTCTACAAGAGGTCACATTAAATTGCTATTTACAGTACCATGCATTTCTTGAAAGCAAGAGTTATTTATTTTCAAATATCTGATGATTAATGCATGTTTTAACAATCTGTGAATTCCATGATAAATCCAGTGTTAGCAATAAATTCAACTAACTATATGACTCAAGTTATTGAAAAAGGAAATAGAAATAACGAAGTTTCTTATCAAAAAAATTAATACTAAAAGATAATTTTTGAAGTGCCAAAAATATTTACATAAAATTCTCTTGTAATGATCATCTATCTGCAGTCTCATATTCATTCTTTGCAAAAAGTTATTAAAAAAAGGTGGTCGTATTTCATTACGAAATTATTTTCATTATTGTTTACAGGTATTGTTAAAGAACAATAAAACAAGCATTTTCTATTATAATCACAATTTTCTGAATAATGAAATGTATTGCAAATACTTAGTCTCAAAAGCTTTAGCATAGCCTCTAGTATTTCAACATATATCTGAACAAAGGGTATCATATTAAAGAAAACATATGGATTACTGGACTTTGAATTAGAAACAGAACAATAACAAACATTGTTTGTCAATGCAGAAACACACAAAATTAATAAATAATTTGATATGAGATGTGTGCAAATAAAATAAGAAGTACTCTAACAAAAAAATGAAAAAGAAAAATGAACCTATTTTAGTTCACATCTTTTAAATAACTACTTTGAACAAGAAAATTGTCATTTTTTAAAACCAATTCCACAAATCTCTCACTGATAAAAGAACATGGCACACAGGTGAAATGTCAGGCTATGGAGACTACTCCAAGAATATTTACAAATATCACAATACAAAACAGGAGAAAACAGTCACTCACGTTCAGCATGAGCATAGGATCAGCATGAATAAGGCGAACCATCCATAGAAGCAAGTTTTTGTAACCAGGCCCTTCTTCACCGCGTTCCTTAAATTTCGATGTAGGATCCTTGGTTTTCAATCCCAAAGAAGTAATCATTCGCAGAGGTGTGTGAGAAATATAACCCTGCGTAACTTTATTCAAAGTATCAGTGAACATTGAACGAAGTTCAGAAGATTTGCTGTATACCAAATCAATTTGAGGCCACCAAGGTAAACGTGGTTGAGTAATAATTCTGAAATGAAAAACATTATACTAATCATATCATTTCTTACTGCACAAAATGTATCTTTTGGCCACTATACCTTACCTGTAGAGAGAGCTGACTAATACAAAGTGATACGTGGAAGGAAAATTTGGATTAAGACACACCTTCAAAGCCTCATTGTTGTGAGGTTTTATACGAAAACACGAGACAAAACAATCAATCATGAGTTCAATATCATGAAGAACATAGCTTTGACCCCTTGAAAATGGTTTTGATGGATTGAATAGCAGTGTCTGAAATCAAAGAGAGAAAGTTGTGAGAAACATTACAACAAGAAATTTATCTCTGCAAGTAATTTTGCATTTCAGGGCAATAATTACCTTGAGATCATTAATAACACTCTGTACTAAGGTGAAAGCAACATTATTTGAGTCCAAAATATTAATGTACGTTGAAGCTTTACATAATTTGACACAAGTGACTGCTGCTGCTTCTGTTCCCTGTTTTGTGCCGTGTGGACCAACAGCTCTCTTGACAGAGTCAATAAATTGCTTCTTCTTTGAATGACGTGGTGAACAGGGTGCCCCTGAGTCAGCATTCACTATCTCTTCAAGTACTTTCTATGCATAACAAACACACATAAACATGCAATAAATAAGAGCATTTGTTTAGGCTGTACATCTCATATTTAATGTAACATGTGTTCAAACTTACTGGAGATAATATTAACAACATGATTTGAAGTGGCCACATTGCCACACGACCTTTTTTATTGTCAGCAAAACTGTCTAATATATCAAAGAGCCCCTCACAGCATTTTGCAAGCTCTTCATTTGGTTTTTTCTAGAAACAAAAACGAGGTATTCCATTTATTGAAACCTATAAATCATGAATATCCTAACAGTCATAACACTTTCAAATTATATGTATTATTGCGGGGGTATCAGAAAGAAATTAGCAAAACGAAGAAAATTCACATTAGCCAAAAGATTGAAAGATTCTAGTTAAGAAACACAATTCTTCAAAAGAGCCTGAGTTGGAAATGAATTGCAGTGTGTGAGAAACACAGTCCATACACTATTAAAAGACATTAACAAAGATGATATGGTGAAACTAGCTTGTAACCCTTAAAGCTAAGACATTAAAAGTCAAGATATTTATCACAAAAGTTTCCAATACATCATACTGAATGCATTAAACACAATTCTAAGTAACCACCCAAGAATACATTAACTTGATAATGCTATTAAAGACCCTGCCATATCCACAACTTACAAGTTGACTTGTAAGAGCCAAGTGACTTGTAAGAGCCTGTGCAGTTGTTACCAAACTAAAATGTTTCTATTCCTATATCATCAATATTTTACTTTACCTTCCTTTGTAGTTTTATGTTTCCAATAAAAAATTATTTGTTAAATGCTGCTGTCTCACACTGGCAATTTATATCAGACATTAATACATTAGACGTTACTAAATAATACATTTCAGACTAAATGTTACAAACTTCTTGGTGGTAGAGAGGTTGAAGATGATCACATTTGGGCAATGAATATGTGGTGGGAAATCTCTTCTAACAAAGTCATACAAGTGACATTTCTCATATCGCTCCAGTGATTGGAATGCAACTCAACTTGCACCAGTGCTCTCAGGGAACAACCAACTGGTAATGACAATATTGAGGTGTTTGTGTTTAATATTCTCAAGGCAGATACGTAACTTGACTAGAGATATTCATAATAAAAAAGGTGATCATCTTTGACCCTTATAAACCATAGAAATTTGTAACATTTATTCTGATCTTTCTCATATTAGCTTTAAACAAATTTACCTGCAAATCTGCAAATTCATGAGGATATGTGTCCATCCAGTTCCAAATGGCTTTTTCCAGAGATGTTATCAGCACCAATTGAGCTGACTTCTTCAGAAGTCGAAATTTTTGAATTGTTTCTACAAAAAAATTAGATTTATTATTAATTTTCTTTTTCTTGACTCTTTTGATTTATAAATAACAATTTTAAAAATATGAACATACCACTGAGTAATTTTGTAAGCCTGTTGACATCTACATTAATATGTTGTATTAATTCAATATCACTATAATCTGGATTTTCATCATTACATGCACTAAGTTCTTGTAACCTGCAAATAATGATTTTTACAGAAGAAAAAAATACCAACAAAATATATTCTAAATGGGTATATTAAAGAGTCTAATAAAACTTTGAAAGGTATGAACTTTTTATCGCACGTTTAAAAAAATCTAACGTTTGTACAAGCAACCTTACAGACATTAGTTTGTAATATTTCAGTACTTACGTGGCAGATATTCTATTAAAAACAGCATTGAAAAAGTTTAAGCTCAATGCAAATAACACTTTCGATGCCAGGTTCTTTAGTTGTGAAATGTTTGGATTGTCATTAGGTACAACTAAGGTAGAAGAAAAAATACATTAAACATTTTTACTTCAGAAAACATATAAAATGTAATATGAAGCAAGGGTATAGATTTAAAGATATTAAATGATATATTTCTTACCAATAAATTGGCAGATTTCTCTTAACAGTAATTTCACATTCATTGCTTCATCAAATTTAGCTGTATCTTTTGGCTGATTACTTAAACATTTTTCTAAAGTATCAAGTACAATCAACAGAGACTCATAACAGTTCCTTTCCATGTCCGGCCCATGAGGTCTACTTGCCCCAGTGGTGTAAGACAGAAACTGACAAAATAGAGAATAAAGATGATTAGGAGTACTTTAATACTTTGAAATTTGCTAATTCAAATTTTTATTTGGCTACAAAACAGTTTGCCTGTTTAAACAAGTGATAGAGATATTCGAGAGAAGGATTCAAATGATCTTTATTTCATTTTTAAAGTCTAAAAATAATCCAACCTAATGTCTAAATGGGCAGTCCTAATCACTGACAAAGAAGTCTAGGAAGCTAAAGGGCATTTTCAACGTTGGCTTTCTATATTCGTAAACACAGCTTTCAAAAAGTATAAAATATTTTCTGTAAATACTAAGTTTCCTTTCACAAGATAGTACACACAAATAAATTTCACAAAGCAGCATTGAATACATCTCATCAATTTCATGCCGTTCAAATATGATCATTGTCTACATGCACAAATAAGTACTTCAATTTTACAGCACCATACTTTATATGGACAAATGCATTCAGAAAATACATGATCTGAGTGTTGTATTCACCACAGGCCTGCGGTTTCAAGCCTAACAATTATGAGCCATGTGTCTTTACTCTCTTGTCAAAATTGTTTTTAGAATAAATGAAAATTGCAACATTATCACTATGTCATTTGTTTCTGCTTCACATAATTCTACATCCCCTGAAATAAGTCACAGACAGGGCTAGGATTTATACAGAATAATATGTATCAAAACATATACTACAAATGTACAAAATAAGGAGTAAAATATGAATTAAAAAATTGTATAAATAAAAATAATACAAATATTGTATTTATTATACATTAATAGAACAGTCCAAGAACTTAAGTTTTGATATTAGCAGTAGAATAAGATTTACTAATTTCTCGTACTAAAATAGATACTTTTGTATTGTTGAAAGTAACTTCCATAGTCCTGTTCTGAAAATTGATCATTTACAAAGCCCTGGACTACAAAGCACTGTGTTAAATTTCAAACATAAAACTACACCTTTTGTGTCTTAATATTTTTGTTCTGACTAAAACTTTGCTCAACATCACAGGTAATGGGGTTCATCTTGAATCTAATGATATCTTGCGCTATTAAATCCAGATCTACTACTAAATTCAAATCACCACTGAAAATTGAAGTAAAAGTTATTATATTATAATAATAATTTCTAATGAAAATAATATAGATTATATAAGAAATAAAATGATGCAACAAAAATGAGTTTGTGTCTACTTGGCTGTCTGGGAGATGCCATATCCTACGCACAGTTGCCAACATTTCGACTGCCATTCTGCAACCTTCCTCAGGGCAAAATGCTATCACAGTTTGCCCCAAGGAAGATCACAGAATAGCGGCTGAAATGTTGGCACCTGTGCTTAGGACGCGGAATCTCCCAGACAGCCTAGTAGCTACTGACTCTGGCCGCAGAAGCCTAAACTCTAAACAAGTGAGTTTTCCACAAATATGTAAAAATAAGCCAGAGTACATAAAAAATATACCAGAAAATATGAACAAAGAAGAATTATTAAATATGTTTCAAACCACTTCAAAAAGCCTCATTTGTAAACATATGACAAAGGTTTGTTTGTATGTACTACTAATTACTAATTACCATTTCGTTGACTCCATGAAGAATTTTGGTAAGTCCTGAAATGACCAAAGAAAAACGATAGCGACTAATCTGGATCAAGCATTTTTTATTTTGTTCTTCATTTATTCGTGAATGAGTAGTCTGTGGTCCAGTTCGGCATGGCAACTGAAACAGGTTTTGTAAAACAAATTATTTCATTCTTTATAAGCATTATTACAACCTTGTGATTTTAAAATTGTCAGGAACCCACAGGAAATGAAATAGCTAATTTGTATTATGACTTATTACACATTAACAAGAAAATAATTCTCATTTGGATCCTATCACATTGAGCAATGTATTAGTCGATAAACCAGCAAAAAACTATTAAAAGAACTTCACCAAGGATCTTTGGAATACTAAATGGACCAAATCACCAAACCAATTATTATTATGTCAAACCAATTATGTCAAGGTATCTTTGATGACCACCTTACCTTTGCAATACAAAAAATTAGACTATGCTCTTCTGTTTAAGAATTGGTCACTCCAAACTTATCACAATTTACTGACAAAAGAAATTCAAAAATATTGTGACCACCTTGCCAACCAAGAATATCTTGCACTCTCTATACCACACAAATTATTATTCTATCAAGTTTACAAAAATATTCGTAAAAAGTATGCATTACTTTGCATTCTCCCTGAAATTCTTAACAACAAACATCATATAGCAAACGTCTTCACCTTTTTAAAGAAGATTAATCTTATCAATGAATTGTAAGAAACTAAGAAACTTATTAGCACAAATATTTAGCGGCCTTTACGTAGCAGCTGGGAAGAGTGTGGAGTAATAACGAAAAGTTAGCCTACACTTCACTAGAAAACTAACATTACAAGAAAGTCTGTGCCATTCAGTACTATCACTATTTTGCTTTATGTAATTCATATATGAAACAAAAAAATGTTTGTTCACATTTTAAAACCAGATTTTTATTTGTAAGTAGCTAAAGGACCCCACATTGTTCAGGCATTTATTTTTCACAATCATCTATTAGGCTTGAAAAGGAAAGAACTCTCTATCTTCTACAACAGGCGTGTACACTCCGTCAGTTTTTTTGGGTTGAAACTTTCGGAAAACTTTGGTATGTTCTTTGTGTGTTACAAAAACGCTCATAAAAAACTGTCAATTCCCTGCAGGTCCTATGAAAATTGCAGGAGGGATGTCAGAAATACAAATATCTATTCATTTGTAAACGTTTTTGAAAAATTATTTGGCTTCATTTCAAGATACTAGCAATACTAGCTCCCCCCACAATTTTCTTACCAATTTTTTGAAAAAATAGGGGGAGGTTTATGATCGCGAAAATACTCTCCATGACTACGCCCACCCCTTCCCCGCTCCCAGGGGAGAATACAGCTGAGGGTTTTTTGGAGGGAAGGGGGCATCATAGATTTTTTTTGTTAAATAATAAATAGTTGTTGTTACATTATATATTTATTTTTGTTGGTGTATATTATACTACAATATTATTTTTTAAATAGTTACCCAATTCTCACATAAATAAATATTTACAGCAATTTACTAATAAATATTTACATCAATGTACTTCAGCTTCCGGGTCAATGACCCCCATCTCGATCAGGTTTTTGTCCAGTTTCCCTGATCCATTGAACAAATGCTGAGATGGCCCCTTGTTTTTTTCTTGTGGACGCACATGTAGCTTCACTATGCACACGTTTAGTTGAACTCTCGTTTTGCTTGTAATGGTAAGAGTAGAGGTAAGGCCGAGTTGCTATTTTGTTAGCATTGCAGAAAAATACGGGGCCGCCGCCCTGCCCGTAACCGACGAAACCTAGGACCTTTCAATTTGAATACTCAAAGCCACAGCCTAACGGCGCTATTGGAATGAATAAAATACAATTATGCAAGTTGTATGCGCTTCCAGAAATGTTTGATGCGCTTTCGACGATATCCTCAGTTTTCAGGATAACTGCGAAAACAATAGAACGCGAACTTAAATTGTGCTT